CATCTCACCTTCAATGTCCATTACATATTACTGGTTTTGAAGTTCAGCAGTAAAGAAATATGCCTAACATTGCTGAGTCCATTGTATCCCATGCTTATTTCACCATAACAGAATTTTTTCTTGGCGATAACCATTTTTGAAAATTGCTGTTACTAGACATGCATTCTGTAAACCCATCCCCCATCCCAATCTGTGCCTAGACACAGATGTCAATACTTATTTGTTGTTTATATTATCGTGAACTAAATGGATAGATCAATATATCTTATCTGTTGCCATTTATGCCACTCTAGCTCACCAAAAGCAAACTTGGCATGACTAAGAACTGTGAGACAACTTAGGAACTAATTAGTAATGAAAGAATCGGCTTCTACAAAAAGCAAATAAACACCACAGTACATGATACCTTACAAGTAAACGTAGGAAAACACTATATCAAACTTTGGTTTGCTTTATGTGACAAACCAAACTTTTAAGTCAATAAATCTCATTTGGTGGAATTAGAGAGAGGAGAAAGAATAGTGTGAGCTCAGTTTACTAGTAGTTTAATTGCAGATTTGTGTAATTTTAGAGTTTAAAATGCACCTCAGCTGACGTCATTTCATAACACAAGGATGAATTGTTAGTGTTCAGAGCACAGATGATGGCTCATCTTCCAGGCTTATCCTCGTCTCATTTCATAGAGGCCTTGACACAAACCTATTTACTCAAACCTTCCATTACATACAGCAGTGTCCTGACATGATCCATGAAAGTGAGCTAATGAGATACTCAAGCTTATCTTATTATTCTAAAGTACAAAATAATATAAACAATGAAAACCATTAGATATGGAATAGCATTTCTATACAAATAAAATTTAAAACACTGTACAGATTCTCACTTGTAACAGAAAGACTACCTACTCCATTTATCTGATCATATGACTGCTTTGCTTTTACATTTTTCCTTAAAAATTTTATAGCCAAGACTGCACTAATTTATTTACCTAATATAATAAAGATGTAATATGCAAATGGCCCTTATGCCCGTGAAGCATTAACAACCGACTGCATGCAGCAGGAGGGTGGGGCAGCGAGCTACAAGCAGGCAGCGGAGAGCTACGGGAGGGGCAGGGCAGCAAGCTATAATGGGGGATAGAGTGGGGGGTGGGGAGAGCTACAGGAGGGTGCCAGGAGCTACTGGCATAGGGATTTGTGTGAAGGGCTACTAGTTGATAATAATCTTCCTTCCTCTTAAAATGTCACAATTATTTTTTCCTTTAAAAAAAAAATTTTTTTTTTAAATTAATTTTAGAGAGGGAGGAAGGGAGAGGAGTTTAAGGGATGGGGGTGGAGGGGAGGGAATGATGTGAGAGAGAAACATCAATTGCTTGCCTCTCCACCAGGACCGAATCTGCAGCCTGGACATGTGCTCAGACTGGGAATTGAACTGGCAACCCTTCAGTGCCGAGAATGACGCTCAACTGAGTCACACTGGCATGGCACCCTTTTTTTTTTTTTTCAAACCATTAATAGTATTCAAACATACTAAAATTTAAGCCAGAAATTAATTTATAGGCAAACATTTTAAGCATTATTTCTGCTGTCACCAAAGAAATATTTTGGTCTCTTTTCATATTTACAAAAAATATATATCATTATCTCTGATTAAAGTAATTTATCTTTTACCTTCTGACTTCTAGCTATTGCTACCAAACATCACATTATTTGTTTATTAACATTAATGTACTGCTAGAGAACTAGACTCCAAGTATAAAATGATAGATGCTAAAATAGTGTTTTGGCAATAGCTAATATTCTGTTAAGGGTCACTGACAAGATTTTCATAGTGGCTAAAAATAACCCAACACCCTTCTGAAGTACCAATACTAAACGTGCTAAAGGGGATTGGGGGAGTAGATGAAGCACAGATAAACGTGTGCAAATGGCTGTGAAAATGAAAATGACTGTCATTAATAGTATCCTTTTAATATCTCCAAGTAGAAAAGCAAAAGCCAAACATTCATTATTAATATACAGCATATGGTAATCAAGTGTAATTTTTATTGACTCCCTGGTTAGTATTATTATACTTGCAAATATAAGTTTTTGGTATTTAGTGAATTCCTGGAAAGCACCAAAAAAATAACAATACTCTGCAAATTCTTTGTTATCTATTGGCCCAAAGCTAATCACTCCAAAGGAAAGGAAGAATATTAACTGACTAAATGTGTATTTTTAGGGTCTTATTTCAAGCAATTTAAATTGAGAGGTTCCTGTAATTATGCTCACAGAGTCAGGGGCATGTCTTTATCTATTACTAGCCACTGGGAAGATCATTTATCTTACCAAAATGCTAAGATAAAAGAATTATAAAAAACGAAGTCAGTTGACAATGCTAGTAACAATGGGTCATTTGGCTTCAAATTTTAATGGTAGCCTGTATGTTCTCTCTTGTTAAGGAAATCCTGGTACAATGTTGGTTTAATATTATTTCACAATGTAAATGTATATTAAATCATCAATTTGTATACCTTAATATAAACAAAATGTATATAATATATACAATTATCAAATATATCTCATAAAAATGTCAAAACTTATATGGTAACAAATTTGGTTTTCTCTAAATCAATAAAATACAGTACTTCATTTTAAAATCTGAATGGTAAAAATGAGAAAGATAAAGGCTAAGAACAGGTTTGAACATGGTTTATAAAATTAGGAATGGACATACATGGGTTTACTAATTGATTTGAAAATAACTTAGGTGTTCAAATTCACTCCACAACCCAAACCTAGTCTGCCCCTTAAATATGTTTTTTTTTACATTTTCTAATGGCAAAAATAAAAAAATAAAAGATTATTTTGTGATACATGAAAATTATATGAAATTCAACTTTTCATGTCCATAAGAGAAGAGACTTTTATTGGTCCCTGGCCACATGCATTCATGTATGTATTGTCTATTGTTGCTTCCACACTATAATGGCAGAGCTGAGTAACTGCAACAGAGACCTACATGGTGCTCTCATTGCTTTGCATTGCTGCCTAGCATGTTACAAAGTATAGTGATGCAGTTTATAACTACTAGCATTTTGAATGGCACATAGATTGTCATACTACAACATTTTAAAGTTTTCAGTTCATACCAATAATGTCAATATGAGAGAGAACTTAGGTGTCATGTTAAATTTAAGGCACAGTGAACGATGGGTTATTTTGTTATTGCATTACGTGGCAAAGCATTAACATGCAGTGACACTGTAGCTGTTCGCACACACACACACACACACACACACACACACACACACACACACACTGGAATTACCAAATGAAGTATTCTCAATTTACAAAATGCAGTGATCAGAGAAATTAGAAAATTAAAACAAAGTATCTCATCACAGCAAAATTTATTTACAAAAATGAAAATAAAGCTGTAAAGTAAGTTTCGGAGTGGCTCATCTGTTAGCCAAGCAAAGAAAGCCTTTTCACCAACGTTAAGTTCATTACATTATTTTTGACTCATAAGTTGAAGAGATGTATCCAAAATAAACTTGCTTAAGACTATTAGCTGTTTTGTCAGAAACAGTTGCTTAAAAGAATTGAGAATACTGGGAACATCAATGTAGTCAATAAAAACAAACAAGGCAAGTCAAATGATTCTGAGTGGTTTCCCATGGTTCTTGGTGAATCAAAGATGTTACCGATGCTACCTAGTGATTGTTGTTTATTTGATAATCAACAATCACTAGGTAGTATCAGTAAGTCAATGCCAAGGTTAAAGTGTCTGAAGAGTTAGTGTCCATGAGTACTATGTATGGAACAATTAAAGGCAAGAATATTTTCTAAGAAGTTAAGAAAGCATGGTTTCAGGACAATCTGAATTTGCTAAGATGTGTTAGAACTGGTGATGGTAAAAATGTGTGTGGAGCAAAAAGAAGACTTAGTTGGTCAAACTTACAAAGCTTATAAAAATATAAAGTGTTAAAACCCATGGCTATTTATATATTATTCATCAGCAGGTACTTTGTGGAATATATTTAACTCAATCTTGTGTTATTGAACTAGTACCATCACCCAGCAATTTGCTGGCTTAGCAGTGGTAGTTTTATTGTTTTTGAGCTCAGGGCTGATATTGAAATTTTTCTGAAGGAGAAGAAATACCCTCAACCACTATCTGAAACACTAAAGGGCTTCGGAATTTAGCTTTTGTTGCAGACTTGACAATGCTTTTTTTTATTAATTCAACTCAAAGTTTAACCAGTTCAGCATAATGAGAACAGTCATCCCCTCTGAATGTGGATTCACTGGGATTCAGGGAAAGCCCCCAGACTCAAGGAAAGATCTAGAGCTGTGATTCTCAAAAGGAAGCCCTCAGTCCACCACCACCAGCAACCGCACCTGACTGAGTACTTATTAGAATCACAAATTCTACTGAATTGAAAGTTATGGGAGTATAGCTAAACAGTGTTTATATATGAAACATACTAATGTAATTCTGATGACAACTACATTGTTTGAATTATGAAGTAACATCAAGCTGTTTTATATATTTCCTATGCTATCAAAACATAAGACAATAAGCGAGCTCTCTGTTTTCACATAAATCTGCATCAGATTTTCTAAGTTCAAACTATAAGTCCAAGTGGATTTTTTGGACCCTGATGCAAGTATAAAGGAAATTTCCATTTCCTAATAACCATTTAGTTGTGCAATCAAGGAGCTCCAACCTAACCTTCAATTGGCAGTGATAAATCTGCAATGTAATAACATGCTAAAAGAAAATTATCAGAAGAAGGAATGTAATAGAATTCTATCAATGCCTTCCAAGTGATAAATATGCTAAATGAGTATCATATTCTTCTCATGAATTAACATATGTATTTGGCAATACCTATCTGTATTTCATAATACTTCATATTTTTCTTTAAAATCTACAAATGTCTTAATAGGTTAAGACATTTCCACCATTATAAAAACCACACAACACAACAAAACAGAATCAATTCTAATATGTAACCCCACAAAAGCACTGATTTTATTACAGAACATATATGTCACTGAGTAAAGCTCTTTTTTATGAACACATTTGGAAAGCTCCCATTGAACTCGAGCACAGTTCTATTGTCAATCTGAGAGCAGAAGGACACATCAAGTAGGGAAAGATCTTTGCATGATTCCAGGAGTTTTCTTAAGGACACCGGACTTACCATTCTTGTTCCTGTTCAAAAAAACAAAACCACAAAAAACACTTTAAATAGAATATTTATATAATGTTCTCAAAAAGAGTACCTTTATTACTTATTGTTTAAAATACACTTCAAATAATTTCCTTTTAAAAATTAAAAGCATTTCTTAAAAGACTTCATATACAAATAGTCTGTAAAGAAATACGCACTGAATTTTCCCAGACAATTTGGCATCTTCACCCACTATCCTCATTCCCACCTCCTGCCCCTTCTAATCAGCTACTCCAGACTTTCCTATTTCTGTCACCCCAGTTCAAAACCATTTGAATCTCTTTTTCTTCATCCATGGCAGCTATGCTTACAACCTCCAATAAGATTCAACCTCTAATACCATACAATGCAATTACTGAGCAACTACCCTGTAGAAACTTGTTTAAAGCACTGGAGATTCGAGGAACTCAGTGACCAGGGTAGAAAGCTATTAACTACAACACGACTTGGTAAGTTTTACAGCAAGTGATGGGTGTAAAATGGCAGTACTGGAAGACAGATGATAGATGATGAGTACTAGCTAGCCCACATCATATTTGAAGTAACTATGGGATATTCAGATGGAAGCTAAATTATCACCAGGCTATAAGACGTCATCTGTTGGAACATGCTGTTCTTTAACTATAGCTTTACTAGGGGGAAAATATCACAATTGTATTATTTAATATGTCTGCTGGGATGGGGATTACAGTTTCTGAAATGTTAACCCAGACCTTTTTTTCTGAGAACTTCTTTCTCCTCCTCTCCCTGACATGAGCTGTGGAAGCTGCAACTACACAGCTACCCAGGCTGTGACTGGCCCCTCACCAAACCAATATAGATTCTCCTGAAAATTTATCATTGGAATTCAGTAAAGCCTTCTGTGTCCATAGATCCTTAAAACTAAAGACATGGAGAACTGGGTTGGGTCTGTTATATTTGGACATGTCTACTTAGAGAAGCAGAGATAACACGCAAGACAAAAGAAAAAGGCAAACCAAAGTGAGAAGCAGACATAAGACTGTGTGCATACAGCTGCAGAGGCAGGGATGGGGCAGGGAAAAAGGAAGGGAAAACAGAAAATAGCTTCCCTGCTTTTTGACTGTTTTCCACTCCCTCCTGAAGTTGGACCATAACTAGCTCCTACTGATGGATTTACCATTGCATGATTCTGAGGGAGAAGGGATCTGAGGGAGACACTTTTATCTTCATAATAATTTTTTTTTCTTATGCTTAAACTATCTTGAGTAGGTTTCCGTTATGTAAGACCAAAGAACGTCAACTAAGACACTTGGCTTTGTGGTGTTTTGTTTTGTTTTTACCTAGGATCATGTTTATTTTATCTTTGCCAGTCTTGGTCATTACAATCTGAATTTGCTGATAAGTTAGAAGTTCCTAAAAGAATGCCAGGGAAGGAAGTTGGATAGTGAAGAACTAACTAGGCCACAGTCCCCATCCTAGGCTGCCAGAGCACTTCCTATCAAACCAAGCAGTCTTAGCAGGACAAAATTTTCATTGTATCCAATTTTATGTTTTTTGGTGTGTGTGTGTGTTTTGTTGTTGTTGTTGTTTTGTTTGTTTGTTTGTTTTTTCCCCCAAAAGTCTGAGTCAGCTCTTATGTCAAGGCTTTAAAACAAACTGATATATTGCATCCTTACCTAGTATGTCCAGTTGCCGTAGTCTGGTACAATTACACGCCAGTTCCTCAATGTCTGTGTCACACACAGACCTGTTGGCCGTAAGAAAGAGTTTTTGCAAGTTTGGGAGCTGTCGTGCCAGTTTGGCAAAGCACCCAGTGCTGCTCTGCAGAGTAGGACACCAACCGAGGTCAAGTTCCTCCAGGAGCGGACACCCAGAGGCCAGCTCCGCTATCCCGTTCTCAGTAATGTTCTTGCAGCGCCACAGATCCAGGGTGCGCAGTTTTTTACACTTGGCCCCTATCATGCTGGCGATCACATCATAGTCTTCAATCTGGAAGTCAAATAATTCCCATCTTTCACATATTATGCTCAGAAATATGAACAGTTTGGATAGCAAGTTAAACATTCTTAATCATCCCCTATTGTTTGCTTCCATGTAAACATACCCACATTCTCATTAATATAGATCTGCCCACTCATCTCACAGAACTGCCACTGTTTCATAAGACAGCAAGAGTAATCACTTACTTAAAAATGTATTTAACAGAACTCCAGACAGAGGACGTTAATGAATGAAATCCCAAAGCAGTTTGAAATCCTCAGTCTCTTGTGAAGAATTTGAGGATTCTGAGCTGTTCCTGTATGCCTCCCAGTTTGATCTTGCTGCTGCTACTTGCTGACAAGGTCTAGCTTCTTATATTTTAGATATAATTAATCAATTTTGGGAGATACATAAGATCCCTTTGATAAAGGTGTACATTTTACTAGGCTCTAAAACAGTATGTGAATATGCTGACACTACTAATAAGGATCTTAGTTGTGGGTGAAAGTAGACATTTGGGGACTGAATATACAACACACACAAAATTTAGATTATGTATGTTAATCACTGTCATTTTACAGGAGGTATCCAATGATTTAGCTCAATATCACAGGATAAGCCTTTATTAACCAAGGATTAAACATTTAAGTTCATGGGCTTTATTTGCTTTAATAATGTTTCTTTAAGTAGGTGCTTACATTTTAAGAGTTTCACTTGATTTTGTTATAATCAGGTATCAAAATTATCACCAGAAGTCAAAAGGGAACAAAACAAACACTCAGATAATTTCCTTTTGTTTATTTGTTAATCATATTCTCCATTACTACTCGCCAGCATCACTCCAGATGCTAGGAACAACAGTGAACCAACAAACACTCTGTTCACGATTTTGGGAAAGACATTCGAATAATGAGCAAAATAAATTCAGAGAGTGGTAAGTGGTGTGAAGGTAGTAAAGAGGGTGATGTGAGAGCAATCAGAGGGTTAGGAGTTAGCTGAGGGAGGGCTGCTGTGACCTCGAGGGTGAGCTCAGTGCATTCCAGGAACAGGAAAGAGATAGGTAGTGAAAGACATGGGCCTGGGTAGTGAAAGATAGGACAGGCCAAAACCGGTTTGGCTCAGTGGTAGAGCGTTGGTCTGCAGACTGAAAGATAGGACAGGCTGGGAAGGCAGAGAGTTATGCCGGGGCCAGGCCATTAGGCCATGAAAGCATTTGATTTTTATTTTAAGTGCTAAGGAAATTAATGGAGAGTTAGAAACAAATATAATTTATATGAAAACAAACAAAAATCCCTCTTTATTCTATCTGAAAGATGGTCTATGGTGGGTAAGAATGGGGGCGGAGGCCCAGTGAAAAAGCCTGCACTAGCTTAGAGGAGAGATGACAGGTTTGGGTTAATGAAGTAACAGAGAAACTAGAGAAGTAGACAGATTTGGGGATATATTTTGAGTCAAAACCTAAGGCTTATGGACTAGATATAGTGGTGATAGTGTCTGGTCTTTAGCAACTGCAGAAGCCACGAGAAACAAATTGGAGAGGATATAACTATTCACATCAGTGAGTGTACCTGAATAACACAGACTTGTGGTGCAGCCAATTTGCTTCTTTAGAAAGAAACATTCAAAATTTCCTGAAACCATGATTCTGATTGCTATTATTTTGATAGTCAGAAATAAAATAGCAAACTGACCTTTTGGTCAATTGACAGAAAAGAAACTGAGATAAATATAGCATTAAAGTATCAACCAAGAGCTATCTCTGTTGCTGTTCTGGTAAACTCTAGATCTGCTGTGAAGTAAGAACTATGGCAGGAATAAAATATTTTGATTAGGATGATAGTAGCAATATTAGTCTTATTTCTGAACTTTAATGTCAAGTCTTTAATATTTAATTTCCTGACAACAAATATCAAAAGTAACAATATTTTATTAGTAATTACATACTTTAATTTAAAAGAAGCTTATTTTTCTAAAAAATCATTTACCATAGTATATTACATATTAATAGAAGGAAAATATAATGCTGTATTAGTGGGCTCACCAAACTATTTCCAGAAACTAGGGTGGGCCTGGGCCCATAGTTAGGCTTTAATCAGGCTTAATCACAGAATTTAAAACTACAGAGACATGGTGACTAATGTGTCATTTTAATTGGCCTCTCTAACTTACACTGCCAAACCTTGAGGCATCTCTGAAGTTACTGTTGGCTCTAAAAGATGTTCAATGGGATCTACTTTTTGGTCAGTGCCTGTCCATGTTGATCCCAAGTCTAGGAACCGCTCTGGAATCTTGCAACCATCCTGCTTATTCTGATCTTCCTGGTAAGTGGATGCAAAACTGAAATGGTTGGGGATCCTTTAAATCTGCCTTGAAGAGGAATGGATTGCTCACAACGATACTGGGAGATGCATTTCCTGGAAATGTGCGCATAGATGCATGCCACACAAACACAACGAAGAATTCTATAGTCCCTTGAGTGTCAATATTATTTATAAGTCATGTAATTTAGATGAAAAAGATTTAACTTATCCCATGAGCTCTTTCAATGGCCCCTAAAGTTCTCATTTTAAATCTGGAAGGACTGTAGAGACTATCTAGTCATGTAGTCCCTAGGCTTTTGGATTTCATGGACCAGTAAACAAACAAACAAAAAACACCCGAGTTCCAACACAGAATAACCACTCTTTTATCTCACCCAGTAAGGCCAGTAACACAAACAAACAAAACACAAAATAAATCTACTATCATAATATCAGAACTTAAAAAATTAATTAAGCTTTGTGAAAAACTCACTCAACTACTGGCATTTGTGTATGATTGATCATTTATTTTATTAAAAAAAAACAGAGAAGTAGATGACTTGTCTGAAATGTCATCTGACTTGAGGAAGAACCAAACTTTTTGCCACACTATACTTCTCTTCTTGCTCTCGAGGCTAAATAATGCCAACGTTTCAAAGACATAGTCTTCCCTTTAAGAAAAATGTTTGAAAGTGGGGTCCAATAGTTAACTGTAAATCAGAAAAGCTGTGGGTGGGGAATGGGGTGGGATGAGTCAGGAAAAAATTCACCCAAGGGGAGAAAGAGAATAAGCAACTGGGAATACAAATTTTCAAATACTTACCATTACACAACTACCCAAACTGAGGTGCTGAAGCTCTGAGCAGAAGTTCAAAATGCTGAGCAGTGCTGTTTGCTGCCCCAGGGACCACATCAGAGGCAAACACAGAAAGTGAAAGAAAGTGAAACAAAGAGAAGAGGTCAATTAGACATTAAAGGCTGTCACTACTTCTCCTGAAACAGAGCTCAAAACCTAGGTTACAAGACACCACAAATGCCATTTAATGAGTCCCCAGGTGCTCCCACCATTGATTGGCTGGGAGTCAAGGTAATCATTACCAGCCTCCAAGTAAGTTGTCACTCTGCATGTGGTTTTGCATGCCCTAAAGATACCTGTATTCCCCATGACCTCTCATTTCATTTCCCAAACGTAAGCAATTTGAAAGTCTGGTTAAGGCTGAACAACAAGACAAGCTAAACAACCTCCCCTGCCAAAAACAAACAAATAAAAAAAAAACCCCACAGTGGGCTGGTGACACTCTGAGGAACAGTGGCAGCTCTGACATTCACCGATCAGCGGCAGCCTGATGGAACTGCCAATAGAGTTGCCCGAAATCAGGATTGAGCTGGTGACTTTAATGTCAAAGGATTCTCTCTGCTGACAAGGATCCCAACAACCATTGAACACCTGTCACTAGCAACATGCTGACTGAAACATATTTAATGTGCACTTTCTAGTTATGTTCCTGCCATTTCAGCCCATCTACCCGTGCAAGGCAATGAAACACTCTCATCACTCAAGAAAGCCAAAGAAATGCTAGGCTGTGATATAATCTTGATAACCAAAACATTTCTAAAGCCATAACTTCATTTGATGACACGTCTGCCATGAAAACTTGTAAAAAAAAAAAAAAAAACAACAATGCAAAACATTCAAATTTCTAATTTTTATATTCAAATGAAGAAAAAAGCTACTCCAACTTTGTGGCAAAATTTCTTTCTATACATTTGAACTAAATCATATCTAAGAAAGTTAAAATACTATAAAACCTATGTTTAATCTGTTGCAAGTGTCCAGAATCTGAAAAATATTAATTGGGGAGAGGATGACAAATATGTCAATGACAATACAAAACATCGGTTCGACCCCAGGTAAGATTCTCAATAAGAAAATAACGTAGTGAAATATTTCATATAAAATAAACGTAAGGTAAAAATAAAATAACTCTAGTTATAATGGGCCCTAGAGAGATACTAGACTTAAGACTGGTTCACTGTTGAGTGTTTCTTTAAATTTAAGAAAAAAGTTTATATTGATTTCATACTTAAGTTTTAACACAACTTATAAAAGGCAATTCCATGTAGCTCTCAGAATGTTGGCAAGTAGAAGAGATATATGAAGATAAGTTTTTTTTTAGATTCTTCATAATACTTAGCTATTTTAACTTATTAACAGATGGGGGAATGACATGGTTTGTTTTTATTAAAGTATCAGATCCTTACAACAATGATGCTTTGTAAGGTTTTCCCATGAGCAAGATCCAGAACATATTAGAGAATTTTTAGAGAAGATTCCACAATTCTTGTAAGAATTTTTAAATTAACGCGCATGCGTACACACACACACACACACACACACACACACACACACACTTCATCATAGAACTTGTTTGGTAATGTCTTTTTAAATAATTTCAAATATACAGACAAGTATAGAGTCCATATAACAAACATCCATTTTGCCTTCTTTGCTTATCTTTCTCTATTTGTGTCTCTCTCAATCCATTCACATACTTCCTCAGAGGTAACCTTTATCAGTATTCAGTGTTTAAAAACATGCCTAAAGATTATGTAATTTTATTATACAGTATGTGTCCATAAATAGCATATAATATTGTTCTCCATGGTTTTTATATAATGGCATTTTATTATGCATGTACTTCTGCATCCTCCTTAACAGTGTTTGTGAGGGTTTTGTCCATGTTGATACTCACAGCTTTAGTTCTGACTTAATTGTCTACTATTCCATTATGCAAATATAATACAGCGTAACTTTCACTCAAAGAATATTTAGCTTGCTTACAAGTTCTACCATAACAAAGAATGTTAGAATAAGCATATTTATAGTGCTTCCTGTGCATTTATAAAAGAGTATTTCACTAGAGCACATACTAAAGTAAGAATTTCCAGGTGTTTATGTATGACCGACGTTATTAGGTTTTTCAAAATAGCACTCGGAGTGATTGTATTAATTGACACTCCACCAGCGGTGTAAGTGTTGGGTTCCCACATTTCTGCCAACATATAGTCTTCTCATCCTTGTTATTATCTGTCCGATGAGTATGGAATGGTATAATTTGCATTAGTATAATTCCTAGTGAGTTTGAAAATTTTTTCATGTTTACGGGCCAGTCATATTTCTCTTCTGTAAACTGCTTAATCATATTCTTTTTTTTTTTTTAGTGTCTAAAGTTTTACGTATGTCTCCTTTTCTCCCAATTGACCTCTCCCCCCTCCACAGCCATTCCTTAATCATATTCTTTACTGATGTTTCCATTAGGTTGTTTCTTCCTTCTTGACTTGTAGGAATTCTCTTTTTATGATGGATACCAATCTTTTCCAGTTACATGCATTACAAATATCTTTCCTAAATCTAAGACTTGTTTTTTTGCTTTGTTTATAGAATCTTCTGAGACATGAAATTTTAAATTTTAAAAAGTCACATCAATCTTTACATGTTTATTCTGTTGTCTTTTTGAAAAGTGCTTCTTTGCTCACAGAAGGATATTCTTCTATTATTATTTTTTGAATGACAACTTTAATTTTTTTCTTTTTTGCACTTAGGTTTTACCCCAACTGAAATTGATTTTTATACATGGTAAGGTACCAAATTTCATGCTTTCTCCTTAGGAATAACCATTTGTCCCAGTTCAATTTACTGAAGAGTCTATCTTATCCACTGATTTGTAATGCTTTCTGTCATATATCAAGTTCCCTTGTATGTGTAAGTCTACTTCTGGGTCATTGTCTTTTACTGGTCTACTTGTCTTTTCCTACACTGACACTTCAATCTTAATTATTATAGTTTGTAATAAGTCTATAAATCTAGTAAGGAAAATACCCTTTCTTAATTCTATAAAACACTAAAAAGCCTTTTGCTCTTTCATATTTTAGAATCACTTTAAAGTTTTTCGTTTACCTTTTAAAAAATATGAAAGATTCATTTTTCTTTCTTCCCCATGATCATTATTTAATTTACTGGCACTTTATCAATTTCTGTGTCATAATTATTTATTATATCTAATACCCTCTTCCTGAAATGTTCTTGTTGAAAACTATTTTTAATAGTTCTTTCAGTGAGCATCCATGAGTGGTAAAATCTTAACAACAAACATTTACTGAGTAGTTATTAACTTGTCAGCATTGCTGTAAATTCTTTTTCTTAAAATATTCTTTAAATTGTTGACAGTATTACAGATAGCTCCCATTTTCCCCCCTTTACTCTCCTCTGCCCAGTCCCTACCCCCTGCCTCCAGGGCTTCACCACCCTAATGTCTGTGTCCATGGGCTGTGCATATAAATATATTTGGTTTATCTCTCCTCATCCCCTCACCCGTACATCAAGGTATGTCAGTCTGTTTCATGCCTCCCTTTTACTTTGTTGGTCAATTGATTTGTTCATTAGATTCTACAAATAAGTGATATTAAGTGATATTTGTCTTTCTCTGATTAATGCTATAAATTCTTTATATACATTAATCCTCACAAGACCTTGTTCATTCATTTAATAAATATTTATTGAATACCTACTATGTGTTAAGCACTGTTCTGGCACTTGAGATTTATCAGTCTACATGGCAGAAAATAACCTATAAGGTAAACATCATATCACATAAGGAATCTGAATCGCAGAAAGTTAAATAATATGTTGAGCCTTTATATATCTCCTCAATCTTGAATGAAAGGTTAGCCAGGCGTAACATGGATTCCAGTTATTTTCTTTCATCATTTTGAAAGTTTTGCTCCATTACCTATCAGCCTCCATTATTTTTTATAAGAAGTCTACTGTCAGTCTAATTATCTTCCTCTGTAAGTAATGTTTCTTCTCTCTGATAGTTCTTGTCCCTTTCTCATTTATATTCTGCAACTTCATCACATGTCTAGGTAAAATTTTATTTTCATTTATTCTGTTTGGTATCCCAAGTGAACATTTAAGTGAAGACTTACATCTTTTTTCATGAACAATCAAGATTCTTAACAATTCTCTCTTCAAATATGGCTTCTCCAACATTTCCTCCATTTTTTCTTTTGGAACTCTTATTAAATAATGAATTTTGGAGTCTCTCAAGTACCAGTGCCTATAGTAGTGTTAAAAATATGTCCACAAATTGGTCTATACTCCTTCCTCCCAGAGGTAAAATGTAATTCTTCCCCCTTTGTGGGTGGGATGGACTTAGTGACTTGCTTCTAACAAACAAAACATAGAAGTGACAGTATGTTAGGCTACTGTGACGGCTAATACTATGTATCAATCTGAGTAAGCCACAGGGTGCCCAGACACTTGGTCCAACACTATTCTGGCCATTTCTGTAAGGGTGTTTTTGGGGTGAGATTAATGTTTAATCAGTATACCAAGGAAAGCAGAGTATTCTCTAACGTTGGTGGACTTCATCCAATCAGTCAGAGATCTGAATAGAACAAAAAGGCTGGCAATGCCCTGACAATGAGTCTCTGGCTTCCCAACTCACTGTGTAGGACTTGGACTTGCCAGCCTCCATAACCACGAGCCAATTCCTTATAATAAAGATATATATATACATACACTCCCTCTCATTGCTGTTTTCCTGGAAAACTCTAATAGTTGTAAGAGGGCTGTGGCTCCCTCCACCATTGCTCATTTAGGAAAAGCCAGCTGTCATGCCATGAGAACAATCAGGCAGGAGAAGGGAGGCCCATGAAGAGAGAAACAGAGGCCTCTGGCCAACAGCTAAGAGGAACTTCGCCAACAGCCCCATGTGTGAGCTTAGAAGCTGATCTTTCAGATGCAGCCAAGCCCCCTTGGCAAAAATGGCTGCACCCCGTTGGGAACCCTGAGCCAAAACTGCCCAGGCAAACACTCCCAGACTCCTGACCTACAGAAATTGTGTGCAATTATGAACATGGTTTTTTTTAAAACCACTAAGTTTGGGGGCAACTGATAGACAGCAATAAATAAATAAGATATAAGCTACTTACAGCAGTGCCTAATATTTAAGGCTTTTACAAATTTAAGTGCATTCCTCAGACTTCTCTTTCAGCTTAGCAGTTTTTTGTAATTTAGAATTTATCAACTTACTTTTTATTATAATGACTACCATTTATTTTCTAAATTTCTAATCATTCTTTTTCACACCTACTTATCTTGCTGGTTTAGACTATTTATAGTCCATAATTTCTTACGTTTATTTTAAAAATATTTTTTTTAAATATTTTTATACTTAAATATTTTTATATTCTGTTTAAAAATATGTTTTCATTTACCTTTGAACTCCAACCCCTTTCAGTCTTCATTCTTCCCTGTTTAGGGACCTCACAGATTGCCCCACTCAGAATCAGGACTTCATAATATGGCAGTTTATATGTCTTCCGTAGCAAAGCCCAGGTGCTTTTCATCAACAGGCAGGGTGGTTTGCATTTTTACTTACTTAATTTATAGATATGCATTCTGCCAAATAAACTGCCACAGAATGAAGAAAACAGGAGGGCAGTGTTGATATCCAATAGAAGTAAAGATCAACTATTTTTGTTGTCTTCTGGTTCATGAAGATGAAGGCAGCAGGTCCATGAAACTGTTGTCCCAGCCAGTAAACAGCTGCTAAGCCACATTTAGGGATTACTGTCAGATACTAGTCCCCCACAATATCTGTAATCAGTTTTTTCACTCCTTCAGATTCTTTCAATTTATGCTCTATCATTCTTGAAGTGAGGCAATCAGAACTGGATGCAGGTGTTCCATTTATAACTCCAACTTAAAAAAAAATACTCTTGGTTTTCTTGTCTGCTGCTAAGCAACAGAACGACATTCTTACAGAGTTACCTGTCATGCCCCATCTCACCCCTATCCCAGATTTTTTTTTTCCCCAAACAAAAAGAAAAGTTAAACAGGCTCCAACTTCTAACACTAATCCCCATTGGTTTAGTAAAAGCACAGGACTTCACCTAAAGACACTTTTTAGGAAGTATGTTAAAAAGTTATTCTTATGCCATCCTTTACAGGTTGTAATAGTTTGCTAGGGCTGATAGAACAGAGTACCACAGGCTATATAGCTTAAGCAACAGAAATTAATTTTTTCATAATTCTGGAGGCTAGAAGTCTGAGATCAAGGTGTCAGCAGGGTTAGTTTCTTCAAAGGCCTCACTTCTTGGCTTGAAACTGACCATCTTCCAGAGTCTTTACATGGTCTTCCCTCTGTGTGTATCTGTGTCCTGATCTCCTCTTCTTATAAAGACGCCAATCATACTGGATTAGAGCTTACACTAATGGCCTCACTTAACCTTAATTACCTCTTTACAGACCTTATCTTCACTACATTATGAGTTACTAGGAGTTAAAACTTCAATATATGAATATTAGGGTAACACAATTCAGCCCATAACACAGTATTTAAGAGTATGTAGGTTGCAGACATATACCCCATAGGGGTAAAGGGCATTTATATCTTCTACTTATTTTCAAGTGATTCAGGGGGAAAAAATGCACATAGTAGAGGAACCTACTGGGCCAATCTGGGCCCCCTCGAGGGATGTCCGACTGCCCGTCGTTTAGGTCCAATCCTGGTGGAATTGGGCCTAAACTGGCAGTTGGACATCCCTCTCACGATTCAGGACTGCTGGCTCCCAACTGCTTGCCTGCCTGCCTGATTGCTCCTAACCGCTTCTGTCTGCCAGCCTGATCATCCCCTAACTACTCCCCTGCCAGCCTGATTGATGTCTAATACTCCCCTACTGGCCCGATTGCCCCTAACTGCCCTCCCCTGCAAGCCTGGTCATCCACTTTGTTTCCTCCTGCTCCAAGCAAATGTCCTCCTGCATACCATGCTCCTACTCCTTTCTCTAATTCATTCCTTGCCAACATTTCAGCTCACCCCAACCCATTGCTTGTTTTTTTGTTTTGTTTTTACCTGGAAACATGAACAGCTTTACAAAAATTTTAAGAACACAGAGAAGAACATTTTCTTATAACTAAAAAAAAAAAAAAAATAGCACAAAAGATGCTAAATAGTTTTGAAATGACTGAATCAGTTCTAATAATTTTTGAATAGCCAGGTGGCATCATAAACTTAATCTATTTAAAAACCAGAAACCACATTATTATGAGTAACTAAATATTCAGTTGCATGTGACACTAGCAAAGATGTAAATGAGTTATTCTTACCTCTATTTTTGTTCGATAGAGAACAAGTCGTTTAAGGCCACATAATTTGGCAATATGGTTGAAAGCTGGAGGTGGTAGCTTATCGCAGGAAGAGAGATTTAACTCTTGTAGATGTGGACACATCTCAGAAATAATCTCCAAGCAAGTTTCATTTAGGAAGTGGCTGCAAGATAATTCAAGACGCACCAATTCGGACCCACAAACTTTCAGAAACCTGTAAAAATATTGTTCTCTGTGAATTTCATAAAAGTAAAAGTATTGCTGCAAGTATCTGGAATTATATCAACTCTAAGCAGATACCTTCAGAAGAATGGATTTCCATGAAGAAAAATGTAAAACTTGTTTCACTCAAATCCTTATTTAATGCATACTAAAATAGGCATAGTTAGGCAAAATAAAGCAACCTGAGAAGATAAAATGGACTCATATCACAAAAAAACTTCAACTAATACTAAGTGAAAAATTAAGAAAGCAGAGTATGTTTCTCCAACATACATGAAATTCGCATCTAAGTTAGTAGAGCCAAAAAACAAAACATAACAAAACTCTAAACTCTTGGAAGATATTTCCCCCTACACAGTACCCATTGAACACTAGATAACTTATTTTGCATGTAATATGTGAAGTGATAGTTTTAATTAAATAACCTCAAACAGATCAGACTAGCCTACTCTTACTCGATAAACTTCTGGGTTGGCTTAACTGTACTGCTGTGATATGCTTCTTGCAACTGTTACTACTTAGCAGTTGGACTGACACTGAAATTACTGCAAGATATTCAATTGCAGCTTCCCATAAAATACACAGAAACAATTCAACCTGGAGGACCCAAAGTTCCTTCTTAGAATAAAAATAACAATCTTTATCCTAGTTACATTCCAGATAGGGAAAAACAGTCCTGACCATAATCATCATCTGAAAATAATCTAAAAGTAAATGTGAGTCTAGGAGTATTTGAATCCATGAAATTATCAGCTAAGCAGATTGAATCCTTAAACAGTACACCAATCATCCCTATCCAGATCTCTGGACATCGTCTTGCCTATTCATGTCACATTAGTTACACACTATTCGTTTATTTATGCCAATCTCTTTCCTAAACAATTTAATGATTAAATACACATAAAAATAAAATTAACTAAATTAATCACTTAAGTAAGTAAAGAAAGTAACACTGGATTTCTAAATCAAAAGTTGGATTTTTTTTTTTTTTTTTTTTGTCCCGTTCCACTACTTCCTAGCATGTAACCTTGGAAAATGCACTTACCCAGCATTTCCTCGCCTGGAAAAGGCAGACTAAAATTATCTAATAGCACTCACCACACTATCTCATGGTTTTGAACATCAAATAATATGTGAAAGCAGTTTGAAAAGGTCAAAGCACCCCACAAATACTAAAATAAAAGTTAAATCCTGGCCAACTCATATTCAAACAATAAAAACAGTTACTACAAATTTATCTGATCAGAACTGTTAAATGAATCTTCCAATTATGAAAATTCACTTGACGAATTTAAGTTCCTCTATGCTGGGCCAAAGTTCTACTAATTCAGAGTATTTTTCCCTCAGTAGGGTCAAATTACGCCCAAGGAATATGACAAAATTAGCTTTTTTTTTTTTTTTTTAAGTATACTTAGTAGTTTTGGGTAGTTCTTCGTTATTTTATAATCTAGCAATCTAGAACTAAATGGACATAAAGTTTCAGAGAACTAATGATATCCTATTTGATTTGATACTTCTGAAATTAACTGCAGCTCACAAAAGTTAAATGAGTATATTCTTTCTTAAAATTAAAATTTTTAAGCATCTTATCTCTTAAAGGTTTTCATTATTTAGAGAACAAAGCACTTTGTTCTACAATGCTTTTTCATATTGGACTTGGGATACTTTAACATCCCTCTTTCCTTGCTCTCATTATTGAACTTTTCCCTCTAAAGAACTTATAGTGACATCAAGCCAATCACCAGAAAGCCAACTGTAAAGAGACTAGAAAACTTGCCAAATCGATTTAATGAATGACAGAATTAGAAAGCACAGTAATAGCCATGCCTAGACTGCCTTTCTGTCTCTCTTTTCCTATAGTGTATATTTTTACTCTGAGCAGATTTGGTCAACATCCCCAGTCTCTCTTCCTAAACGTACAAGATCTACATTACCTACTTTTTCATAGCATGTCCATTCCAAGAAGGCAGAAGTAGCAGCAGACCCAATTAATTAGCTGAATATAACACATTTCCTTTCTTAATGCTGCTCATGTACGTCTTATTTTAAGGCATAATTAAATGGTCCTCTATTTATTCATCTCAATTGTGATACTGATCACCTGTACAGAGAACTACAGCTTCCTTAATTCCTATAACCTATTCATTCCAGGTTATGAATTCTCATAAAGTATTTCTTGATTTGAAGGTATTATGAGAAGAACTAAGTACAGATACACAATCCCAAACTAGGTCTCCTGCTATAAGAAAAGGAGTCTCTGGAGAGAGAAATAAATTGCTTATTATTATGAGGTGAATTAATTTGTCCAGAGTAATGTAAGCATATAAGAAGTAATTTACTAAATTGTAACTTGCATCCTAAAATAATTAACATCACATGAATGAATGATTTAAACTGAGTTTACTCATCACAAAACAGAAGGCACTAATCCCCACAATCCACCTGATATAGAAAATAAGAAGAGAATTAGATATAAATATCCATCGCCCTGATTCCTAATCTTATGCTTTGTTAGCTGACCCTCATGGAGTTTTATAAAATAGCACATTTAAAATCATTTTTAATCTCAAATAACTTGGAACACTATTTATTACATCTGGTCCAAAATAAAGCCATTAAAACAAGACTTCCTGCCTAAATGTGTATGGTACTATCTGCTAATAGTAAAAAAAATCAATAAATCATTTCTAATATCTAGATATTGACAATCACAAAGAGACAACTGCTTGAAGTACAGGCAAGCAATTGAATAAACTAATATGTAAATAGGCAGTAAGCTCTTTATCCCATAAAACTGTAGCTCTGTGTCAAACATCTAATAAAGTTCTTGAATCTAGAAAGTATTCAAGAATGTTTCTGAGAGAAACAAGTGGAAGGTTAGAGTAAAAATCTCTGCCTAACTGAGGTGGAGATCACTGTGATCAGTTTGGGTAACTATCTGAAGAAAAATAGTACTAGGCTTTTGAACATCAGAATGATATGATTAAGGAATAGCCAAGACTTTAGGGAACTATATTATAAAAGAAAAGTACAATTATAATATATGGGATTTTAATGAATAATAATATGCATAGGTAGTACTTGAAGTTGCAAATCATAAATCTATAGCTAGGACAGGATTTTAATAACTGATTAAAAGCTTTAAATTCTTGTTATTTCAATTTAACCTATTTCCCTGCTATTTTGAATAAGAATTCCTAAAAAATTCTTTAAAATCCAGTTAAGCAATTCCAACTTGTGAGGATTATGTTTTTAGGCAACAAAAATAAACTGTATCAAACTTTTCCCAAAGACTTGCTAAACTAGCAGCTCATCATGATTGGTCTCTAGTCTAAAAATGTACTTTTGTCTTTAAAGTATTATAAATAATTCTTCTTCACAGTAATGAGCACAAATAGGCCATACTTATTCATAGGTTATTCATTAATAATCAAGCCATGAATATTTATTGTTTATTCTGGGAATGCTGCCTACAAGCCATAATGACTATCAATTCAGCAGTCAAGTCATGGGGGCCAACAGCAATCAGGAGGCAAAACTTCAGCATCTTCGGTCTCCCAAAAAGATTCCCTCCCTGTTATTTAAACATTTTCTTTTCTTAAAGGGAAAAATGACTACACTTAAAGGAATGCCATCAAGATTTATGGTTTTACTTGCTGAAAACTACAGTAAAATATGGAAAACTTAAATTTATGTATATGTACTTTTGTGAATATTCGAACAGCCCCACAGCAACTAACATGGCTGGATTGAAAATGAAACAGAAATTGCTAGTGAGAAAGTAGATTGGGGCTTTAACCTTATAAAAGAACTTCAGAATTATGAGTCTAAAATTTTAAAAATAGCATTCCCAAGTTTTCTTCTTACAATTTATATTTCTGTTCATGCATCAGAATGAGTTACATTCAGAAGAGTTTTTAAAAATTTATTTAATATTACCTTTATCTTTTACTCATTATAACATTTTTATAGGCAACATTTTGCCAAAGAAGCTGGAGTTTAGCCTTCATTACCAATGTTTCTTTTAATGTCTATTTAAAATACTGGAAAGGTCCTTATAATGTAAAATAATGCTTACTGACACCAACTGTTCTATCTGCTCTCAGTTTGTCTTGGTTTATAATCCATAATATATACTCTAAATACCCATAGTCATCATTAGCTTCAATTCTTCTTGATCCTATTAGCAGAGAGGAAAATTTGTGAATGAAATATGTTTGGGCAAGGGTGAGTAGAAAGGACTAAATGGTGTTCCACTAACTAGTTGTCATCGTCTATCAACTTAAAAAAATTCACCAAAACTACACTGCTAAAATAAATGCTTTATTTTTCTACTACAGATAACTCCTACTAATGAAAAATAATTTGGTGTACAGAGCATGTTATAAAGTCTTCAGAATCTCTGACCCACAATACCATAATATTTTATTGAAGAACCCCTTCCTCTGGCTCTATTTCTGGCAGAAAAGACAGGCTGTCAGTTTACCCATGGTTTCAACATGCATTAATAAGCTATTAAATACTTGTGTAAATTTTTCATTTTATTGCATAAACTATCAATATTAGCATTTTGAACACATTTTTATTATTCCAAGCATTATTATTATATCTGAATATAATGGTATCAAATATTTATTTTATTTTATGGAACTTCATGCTTATTTTTATAATGTAAATCAAGGGGAAACAAGGCTCAATATATAAATTTCTAATTCATAAACCACTGTTCAAGAACGTGGCCACTAGGGATGTGTGTCGGGAGAACTGAAGTTCATTTTTAACTTCTAAAAACAGGGTAGGAGATTATTCATTAATCAAAAATAATAGGTAGTTTTCCCAAAGTTTCTACTTATTCATTATTTAGCTTAATGAAATGATGGGATTAAATTGTAACACACTCTGAGAATAACCATCATCAAGATTAAGAGAAAACACCTGTTTGTACCATAAGAAAAATTGTTATGGCATTACTAAATGAATATGCACTTATGCAAGCTTTACCATGTTTAACAGGTGACATTTAATAGCAAAAAAACTAAATGCTTAAATAGAAAGGAGCAGAAACACCTGGGCAGGTCTGCAAGAGTGGTCGCCTCTTTAGCATGCAATTGCATTTTCAACATAATTAGTTTAAATGTGCTTCTAAATTTGGGTGATGTATTGCACATGTAATTAAGATTTAATTAAAAATGTTCTATAATAAATTGTTTTCTATTTCTGACAAATCACATTAGAGAGGTGGATTTTGATTTAGAAATAGTTTTTTAAATGTGTTAATCATCTGTCCTGGAAATATGAGAAAGAAAAAAAAAAGGAGCTCTGTTAAACTTATTTGGGATTTTAAAAATATGAGGTAAAGGGCATAGTTTCCCTTCCTATTATCATGAAGTGTTGCTAAAAAAGTGAAACTCATCCACTTTTATAAGCAGAAGCATTCTGAACAGGATGATGCACAAAATGTATCCTTTTGTATTTCTGTGAAGTATATGATTTCAAACTTAATTGTGGAAACTATTACATAAATATAGCCTGGTGGAGAAATAACCTCACCAACTTGGCACTAACCTGCTGAATCCTGCAACAGAGATGAAGCCCCTATTGCCAGTCCAAGATAAGTTAAGCCACTGGACTAGAGTGCAGCGAGCCTGCAGAAACTCCAGTGAGGTGTCATTGAGTTTTGCCCAGTAAGGCTGCAGATTGAGATAGATGTACTGGAGAGGATCGTAGCAATGCTGGTTCAGCAGTTTGCAAGTCTGTGCTAATCTGCACAGGTCTGGTAGTGTAAGATGATTCAGAATCAGTTGAATGAGCTACATAAAACAAAGAAACCAGTATCATCAAGACTGACAAACAGAACAACAGTATCATGTATTTTATAACACTATTTTCACAAACTAAAATGATCAACACTGAACTGAATTATCCAAAACAGAAAAAAACCATACCTACTTAAGACTTAATTACAGAAGGAAAGGATCGCTGGGAGTAAGGGGGAGAAATCAACCAAGGGACTTGTGTGCATACATATGAGCCTCATCAATGGTCACAGACAGCAGGGGGTGGGGTATGAGTGGAGGGTAGGGGATAATGGGGGAATAAGAACACATATGTAAAATAATAATAATAATATTTTTAAAAAAGACTTAATTACATATAAAAATGTTCGAAGTACACTCATCTCAAGCCGACTAATTTTTTTTATAATGCAAAGATGTATTTTGGTAATCTGTTGAAAAACACAAATTTTCATAGATTCACTATTTACTAAACATCTACTATACACCAAACACTGCTGATAGAAAAGAGTTCCCACTTTCAAAGTTTTCAGAGTCTAGTGGGGACTGGTAAATACAGAGACATGTTTTAATAGCTTTGATAGAGAGAAGCACAGGCTGCCGCCAGAGCCTAACACAAGACGGGGTCCTCACCACAAAATGAAAGAGGACACGTATCAGGAAGGTTCAGCTTTAAAGGGTGAGAGGCAAACTAGGTGAAAAGACAGACAGGTCTTCCTCTGTATGGCTTATTTCACTTAGCATAATACTCTCCAAGGGGAAAAGTAACCTAGAGATAATTTAAAGTATATGAGAAGGTGTGTTTAGGTTATATGCAAATACTATGCCATTTTATGTAAGGGACGTGAGCATCTGAGAATTTTGGTATGGAGGGTTGGGCTGGAACCAATCCCCAGAGGATACTGAAGGATGACACATAGCTTACAGTTTTCTTTTTATGTGCCATAGTGTTCAACTGGCTTCATTAAAAACAGTGATAACTTTTATTTTTCTTTATGTTATAAGAGTTAAAATAATATAGATTTACCTGTTTCTTAAATGCTTGAATTTATTAGCTACCTGAGCTCAGCAACCGTAGGACCTTAAATATTTTTAAAATGAATTAAAAATTTGTTGTTTTAACCACAGTGTTAAAAGTTATTTCAGTATGATTTTTAAGCAGTTAGTGCAAAGAGGCATTAAAAGTTAAATATATCCCTGTATCAGAGGATACATGATTTACTTTTTCCAGATGATTTGTAATTTAAATAACTCTCAGCAATTTCTGGCATTGTTCCAAACAAAAGTCACCAATATTAAAAGATGTGTACTATGTGAAAACACTCTATGACAATTAATATTACATTTTAAGCAAATATCAGAATAGAAAAAGAATAATGAAAAGTCACTGGGACTATGACATTGACATGCGACATGTGAAAAAACACTTTTGGATTTTGATTAAATAAAAGATAACAGTTTTCAGGCCTATAAGACAACATCCATTAATCATTACTAATCTAGTATCTGGTGTCTGTCAAAATGTGCTTTTACATTGGAGTATGCCTGAACAAAGTACCATTTGATACCACAGTGACTGTAGGACATGATGTGTTGGGAACGACTCCCAAAACACAATTTATCTGCCCTCAAACCAACTCTACTCATAATATAATTATTTTCAACAATAAAAACATTACATCACTTGACATATTTAAATGTGATTCCCACCCCCACCCCACCCCTTGAAATAATCTGCATTATCTTTAAATAATTTGGGTAACATTTTTTTAAAAGAGTTTCTCTTTTTATTCACTGTGAGATCATTCCCTCTGTACATGGCACACTGCTTTCATCATGGCTAATGAGTGACCTCGAGGACTACTGCTTCTATCTCCAGGTTTCCTCTACAGGACTTTGTAGTTTTGATTAAACCCCCTACATGTTTAGGAAACTTTCCCTCTCTATTGCTCCTTCCCTTCAGCATATAAACGTGCTGAAAGCTCTCTCAACCTGCATCACAAATGGAAACTTTCTCTGCTGCATCCTCTACCATACCATTCACCTGTCTTTTCTCCCTTTAAAAGATAAGTTAGAAGAGATAAACCCATAACTACATACACTCCCTCATGTTGATATGCCCTTTTTTGAGTGTGACACAAAAGAGTGGAGTGTTAGTCAGCATGCCAGTATAGGATAGTCTTACCCATGTTACAGTCCACAGTTACAGTATATTAACAGAATTATTTTTCTGCTTAAACATAGACTTGGCATGTTTTGTCTCTGCTCCTTCCTCCTTGAAGCCTTAACCAAATATGGTAAGGTTTTCTCATTCTCACCCTATGGCATGGCTCCACTGAACTGATCATAGTAAAGAACCCCTCAACAAAAAAAGCCGGTGGGCACTGTTTTCTATACTTAGCTTCCTAGCACTTTGCTTTTAAGACAACCTCATATTTGTCTTAAGTGCCATTTCTGACATACCTTCCTAACGATTCTTAGATTTTAGTATCCCAGAATTCTATTCTTGGTCCTTTGTTCACATTTTACAGAGCTTCATTGGTCAATTTTAACTACCACTAGAGGCCCAGTGCACTCAATTCATGCAACAGTGGAGTCCCTCTGCCTGGCCTGTGGGATCATACCAAAACTGGCCCTCCAACATCCCCCAAAGGGTCCCAAATTGCAAGAGAAGCACTAGCCAGGCTGAGGGACTCCACCAGTGCACAACTGGGGCCAGGGAGGGAAATAGGAGGTTGGCCAGCTGGGGAGGAACCACCAGGGCAGGTCCGGCCTGTCTCACTCAGTTCTGATTGGCTGGACCCCAGCAGCAAGGTAACCTACTGATCAGAGTGTCTGCGCCCTAGTGGTCAGTGCACGTCATAGCGAGCAGTTGAGTGGCTTTAGCATATTATTAATATATTACGCTTTGATTGGTTGAACGGCTGACTGGATGACCAGACACTTAGCATATTAGGCTTTTATTATATAGGATGATGTCCCTCCCCTCTCTTGAGTAGAATCACTCAAATATAAAATCAGACCTTTCTCCTGAGTTTTAAACTTTTGTCCCCAACCCAACAAGCCTGCTTTGATGAATCACAAGCATCTCAAAGTCAGGATGTCCTTCCCACCTTCACCCACTGTTCTGTAATTAATGGCATGTCCACCCACTGAGTCATTTCTACCAGAAATCTAAAGTCCTTCTGATGTTCTGTTTCATCTCCACATTCACTAGTTACCTATGATTTCTACCTTCTACATCTCTGGAGTATTTCTCCCACTCATCTCCTTTCCAAAACTTCCAATAACAAAGGCTTCATAATTCCTTGCCCAAATTACTGTAGCAGCTTCCTAACTGATATCCCTGATCCCCTTTTGGTCTATTCTTCATTTACCAACAGAGTAATCTAAGACAGAAATCGCATTTTGTTATTCTCCTTTTTAAATAAATAAAATCTTCACTGTTTCCTACTGACTACAGAAAATGTCCACAATCTTTTTTTTATGTCATGACACATATGAAACACAAAGTTTACATGATACTGAACTCCTAGGCAATTATCTAATTGTGGGCCAAAGCATATGCAAAAATGTCTGCATAGTAAAGATAATTCCTGGAATGTTAGTTAGTATTTTACATTTTCTCTCCCACTCAAAAAAAAAAAAAAAAAAATGAAGATTACAAAAGAATACAAGAAAGTGAGTGTGAAATCACAAATACGGAAAAGTGAATTATTTAAAGTTTAAAGTATGAATGACTTTCCCAACTGATGTTGCCGTGTACTGGAATAACAGGGCACTCTGAGGATCCCTGGCTAAAGGAGAAAATGCAAGCCTCTTGGTAATACCCACAGGGCTTTCTATGATACAGCAGAGTAGGCTGGACACAGCCAAGGCTAGGATGTCCCCATCACTTCTTCAATGGGAACGGTATCCTGAGGAGTTCTGCAGGGAGGCAGCCGTGAGCCAGCATCCAATTTCATCTCTTATAGCTTCTACTATCTAATCCTGATCCAGCCATACTGAAATGGTCCCATGGCTTACGGACTAAATTATCTTGGATCCTTTAATTTGCCTTTATGTGGAAATTTTAGCTACTTCTCAGGAAATAACTGTAAAATAGCATTTAACTGTAGAATGTTACATAGGCATTATAGTTACTGAGAGGCTATATTATTGTTCTACACAAGTTAAGCTACATGTGTCATTACAATGAAGCCTGAAATACCCACCAATTTGGGAGTAATCTAAATTGGTTGAAATTTGAGGCTTTAAATTTTTCTTTAAAAAAAAATTTTTTTTTATTATATTATTTTTAACCACACACAGAAGTTGTCAGCCAGGGACTGAAATGCTAGGCCCTACTCCCACCCCAAAGGGTGTGCAACAGGCATTTGATGCCTGGGAGCCAGGGATGTTAAATACACTGCAGAAATGCCCTTACAGACACACACAGAAAACAAGATGCTAGGCAAAGGCACTCTGTACCTGCCCAGACCAAAAATTATAGCTAATTAGAAGGATACAGAATAGAATTGGCATAGAAAAATAAATGACACTTGGAGAAACTTTGGACTATTAAATAGATTAAGCATTCCTCTTGCAATCTTATTAGTCCTCTTATTTTTTATTGCAAATCATCTTTAACTTAACTAGTATAAAGTTAAGCACATATTGTCCATATTTATATTGTATAATTATGAATTGTAGTGGAATATAATTTATTACTGGTTTATATAGTTTGTTTATTTTTAATCAGTGATATAAAAACATATTTTTAATAGTTTATCCAAAATTATTAAAAGTCAATCCAAAACCAAAGTGGTGAAACTACTCAACATAATTTTGTCTAGTTTTTCCAAAATCAAAATATACATTAGGTTATGTATAACTTATCAATACTTCTATTTCTCTAGTATCTAGCAAAATAAATATTAATACCTAAACTTTAAAAAATAATTGTGTTATTTGCAATATGGCTACTAAATAAATTTGTCTTACCTCATAAGGTAGTTTGTCAAAGTATCCATTATTTGGCTCTTCCCCAAGGGTGGTGCTGCTAAGTTTTTTGTTAAGACTGTCCATTCCACAATCATTGTTTTCTTCAAAGTCATCATCTTCTAGATCATTCATGTCAATAAGTGAAGTCTTGAGAGAAAGTACTGGCTTGTCCTTCATACCATGCAATACAACTGCATCTAATTCAGTGTAATAATCCAGAAGAGAACTATTTACTTCCAGCCGTATAAGATTTGTGGGAAAATTTATCTGCTTAATACAAGGTTTAAACTGGCGAGCCTGGGAAGCATTCACCTTCGTAGGTCTCTCTGACCAAAGAATCTCCCATCTGCTAAAGAAAGAAACTTCCCTATAATAGAGCTTAGAATGAGATTTACTGTTACCTTAAGGTTATGGTCCCACACCCAATATGTTACAGTGTGAAACAAAGACATTAAATAAGGTGAAGAGAACCAAATACAAGTATTGTTTCCAGTACATAAAAAACAAACAAACAAACAAAAAAACTTAAGAACTAAACACCATAGACCTTATTGCTTAAATATTTTTACTACTTAAGTTACTTTTACAACTCCCGGGAAAGTCTTTTTTGAAGATTTCACATTAAAAACTGGAATAGGTAGTTAGAAGTATAGGAAGAACAACATTCATTTTTTCTAGAAAAAGCTAAGTAAGAATAAAGCACACAGGATAACTACAGCTCTCCTGTGTGCATGTCTTCAACCAACTGTGAAAACTAAACTGGTAATCTTGCCTCACAAAGGTCTTCTTTTCCAGCTTTCCCATTTCTGTACTAATATCATACAAAATCAAAACTCTCATTATTTTTGATATTTTTATCCACTCATTGTTTTTTAAAATTTTTCATGAAATTGTCTTTTTACATATGTCCTTCTTTTAAATTGCCATTACCTGAAATACCCACCAATTTGGAAGAGAGATAGCCTGAATTGTTTATACAATATCCTTCTAACTAGCTATAAATTTTGAGTTGGAGAAAGTGAGGAGTATGGAGTAACCAGGCTCCCTGAGGACCACTAGCTGAAGGGATAAAATGCAAACTTCTTGGTAAATCCCGCAGAGCCCTCTATGATACAATGTCGTAGTAACTAGCTATAATTTTTGGCGGAGGCAGGTACAGAGTGCCTTTACCTAAAGTCTTAATTTTTCTCTTAGTCATACTTGTATCAAGTTAGTTAGCAAGTATCTAACATGTAATGATGAATAACATTTTCTCCAATTTCTCCCAAATGAACCCCTCCTTTCCTGTGATATTAATCATTACTTTCCAGAAAATAAACTTACTTCCAACTTTGTGTCTTTACTCATGTTGTCTACCCCCAATGAAATACCCAACCTACAGATTATCCTATTTTCAAGGCCCAACTCCTATTCCATTTCTTCATATAAGTCATCAGGTTTTTTAAAATTTATCTTTATTGTTGAAAGTATTACAGCACCTAAGTCTTCTTATAAAACTATTTTCCAAAATTACTTAAAGATTTCTCATAAAATATCAAGTATATACTATTATAATATTTTCACATTTATGTCATATGTAACCATTTCTCTAATATTCTTTCTAATATATCAGAGAAAGTTAGAAATATAGAAAATACTTCAATAAACACCTTTACTCTATTTCTAATTTACTTTAGATAGCAGAATTTTTTAACAAAGATTTTGTCAAAGACTAACAATATTTTTACGTTTCATAATATATACAAGCTGCTTTCAAAGAAATATATACCACAGTATACAACAATGACCAATGAAATCATTATTTATGCTTAAAAAAATCTCTACTTTCATAGTGAGACATGGCTCTGTATTACCTAATATATAATTCAGTGATTATAAGTAACAAACTGTTTTATACACTTATTAATCATATGAGGATTTTCCCTTTTGCCTGTTTATTTAAATAAATGACCTATTAGATCTAAGTAAAAACTGATTGTGGAAAGGTGTTTAGGAAGCTGAAATAGACGCAGGAATCCTGATGATCTTCAGGTCATGATGGGAGCAAGAAGGGCAAATATGGTAATTTCTAACTTTAAGAATAAAAACATAAGACAGAACTTCAATGGGGATTTTAGCAAAGATAACACTAATCATAACAATAGAAACTTCTACAGTTTCTAGAAACTTTGCAACCCTCCATATTTGCTAATTTTGCTGATGCTGTACTGAAAATTAGTAATAAAACCCATCAAACATAAAGAACCTGTTACTATTTGTATTCAGAGACAACATTTGTATCCAGAGATTGTTCCCACTCTATACCCAGTGTTGGGGGGCAGGGGAAGAATTCTAAGGAATAAAGCTGGTTGTGGCAGATTTAAAGAGAAAAGGAAAGCAGGCTAGGCATTTTCTTCTTCCTGTAACAAGGTAGGAAAGCAAATTTGGAATGCCTATCTAAACCTAAGTCATGATCCCAAATGTTAACTGCAAAAATCTTGAGGGTTCTTAACAATGCAATTATTTGCACACTCTTATGTAAATCTCCGTGGTTAAACAGAGCTAGCCATATAGGTACAAGGGAACTGAAGTATTAAACATTTAAAACCATGTTGGTGGGAGAATGTATTCCTATTTCTGGACAGTATATTTCTAAGAATCATGAGGTAAATGGTGGAATGCATGAGAAAATTCAAACTTTGGTTTTATTCATCTTTTTCTTGCAAATGCAAAATGATATCAGATAATACTGGAGAAACAACTCATGTCCAAGAAATAAGGACCACTAAGGAATCTGAAATAATTGCCTGTACTGATTCACAATACATGTGGACTAAACCAGCCTACTTTTTAGCTTCAGTGAGTTTTTATGAGGCTTAATAGAAACACTGAAAATTTAATACAGAAGTCACCTCTGCCAGGTCCTTTGCAATAAATACATGAGCATGTTCTTCATGTATAGCTTGATTTGCAGTATAATGTAAATTACATTGTAAAATCACAAATATAAGCTTAAAAAAAAGCAGTGATTAGAATAGAAATATGCTATTTTAATAATGTATTAAAATAGTCATGGGGATATAAAATACAACAGAGGGAATATAGTCAATAATACTGTAATAACTACGTATGGTGCCATGTGGTATTAGAAATATGGGGAAACACTTTGTAAAGTAGATGATCATCTAACCTCTATGCTGTACACCTGAAACACAAAATAATATTAAATGTAACACAAGATGGCTGCACCCACAGCGGAGGCCGAGTTCCTGTAACCAGCCTTAAGGAACAATCAGCAGGGACCTGAGGCTTGACAGGGGACCTCAGGCCCAGCCGCACGTCACAGCACCAGGACCGCGCCCCCTTGCCCCCTCGCCCCCTCGCCCCAGCGCCGGGCCAGAGCTTGATAGGGGACCTCAGGCCGCGCTGCCTCCTACAGCGGGGCTGGTCCCCCCATCCCAGTGCTGGGCCAGGGGACCTCAGGTTCCAAACCCGCCCCAGCCAGAGATGGGGGACCTCAGGGCACATCCCCCACTTGGAAGGGCTTGACAGGGGATCTCAAAGCATGCTTCCCACCCCAGCACAGGCCAGGGAACCGCAGGCAATGCCCTCCGCCCTGGTGCTGGGCTGGGAGACCTGAGGCTACATCCCCACCAGGGTACTGGGCTGGAGAACCTGAGGCTGCACCCTCCACTTGGCATGCGCTGGGAGCCCTGAGGCTGTGCCCACCCCCCAAACCCCTAGCCAGCACCAGGCCAGGGGACCTAGGCTGCGCACCCTCCCCCACCCCCGCCCCCACCCAGCCTGAGGCTGGCCCCCTGTCTGGCAGGGCTTGACAGGGGGTGGGGCTGGCTGGGGCTGGTCTCACGTGATTTGGAGGTATGCATGAGTGGGCAGGGACTTGACTCTGGGTCCTATGGTACACCCCAGACTTTGACATAAGAAAGATTTTCATATACATTTTACTAATTTTCTTTCATCTCTGACATTTCTATTACAGAGAAGGGGCAAATAGCAATTATTAAAATATTTCCTCCAATTAATTTCCTTTAATGTGCACAAATTTCATGCACCGGGCCACTAGTCTATAATAACACACATGCAGAACTCAGCTTGGAATCCCTTTCAGGCTCTGCTTCAATCTGCATTTGGAGCACTTAATTTTGGGATGGTAACCAACAGCACTCTCTTCATCAGCACACCTATTTCTTCTTCTGTTGGTTGCATTAAATGCCTACTGTGTGTCCAGTGGTTGGAAATTAAGTAACAAGCCACCCTCTGTGACTCCTGATCTGTTGTGACCCCACTGAGAAAGTCTCTCTAGGGTTCACTGGAAGCAGCAGGTAGATAAGAGAGATGCTGATCAATAGAAACACATGAAAGCGATTTTCCTATGTATTCAGGTTGGAAGCCAGGCATATAAATGCAAAAAGCTTCCGTATAACCAAACGTTCTCCTGGTTAGTAAGCGTGTCTAGTTGCCAGCAAAAAGAAAGTTCTCTTGCGAAGGCTCTACTATTTCACCAGGCGCAAGTGAAAGCCACAGAAAAAGACAGGAACACAACAAGGAAAAAGGAATAGTACTCTGATGGATGTACCTACTCACTCCTTGCCTCCCAGCCCATCTCTAGTTGGAACTAACAAACTGGCAGCTGCTTTAAAAAGAATCAACCAGTAAAGGGTCTGGTCAACTCTGACTTAAATGGCAAGATCATGCTTGTTGGCCCGCAAAGTCAATGAGATTATCTCATTACCAATTCGTGAAATCGTTGCTTCGTTAAGCAACTCCTTTTGGCAGTAGATTCTCTGCACAACAGCCACTTTCTTTGTCCTTGCTTTCTTAACTTCCCTATTATGTGGTTAAAATGTTTTTAATACTAAAAACAAAAACAAAGAAAAAACACCCAGAAGAGATCCATACCACTAAATTTTATCCTCAAATAACTTTATTCCCATCAGTTTTTTACTGACCTCAATTAGTCATTTTATTCCCCTGTATCTCTCTTCCAGTATGTAACCCTGTGCTAGCCTATTTTCTGCCTCTTACACCAGCGCCCATTAAGATGTTATCCTCAGGACCAGGACACTCTACACTACCTTATTTTCTTTCCCTCTAATAGGGCACTAGGCAAGAAGTCAGAAGACTTTGAGACCTTATTGACTAACTTTTCTACTTTACTCTTTGAACAAAGAATTGCAACTGGATGAAATGGGGGAAGGCTGCTTTTAAATTCTTAATGTCTTGGGACTACAAGTCCATTTTCTGTAAACAAACTCCTGAGCTACTCCAATTCACACTCTCAGTTACTACCTCCTAAGGTTGGCATAAAACCAGGTGCTCAATTAATAATAGGCAGTAAAGTCCAGCAATTCCCATACAATAGTGTGTGATGGAGGTTTCCATGGCTAAATGTAAAAAATAAAGATTATATATATATGTATATATACATGCACATATATACATGTAAAATTGCCAACTGTTCTTTTTTCAATATTCTAATTGTGCTCATTTCTCAATATAAACTGAGGTTTTACTATGAGATGATGGTGATTATAAATTATTTTGGTATTTCATTTGTTTGTCTTTTTAATTGTTTGTGTTTATTTAGCTAAGTAAATAATCTGACAACCCTGTATTAGTTCTCTAATTTTTATTATCATTACTATTTGGTTCACTCTCATAGTGACTTTTCCTACCTGTGCTCTGCTTGCTTCAACTAAGGGCTTCCACCTCCAGCCTTCAGAGAACTGACTGGGGGAGGCTCTTCAACCAGGTCTGTGCCTGAAAGATTTCCATTCCCATGGCCTATGGCTGACAGCAGACAGGTTCAGCAGTGTGAGAGCTCATCTCTCTAGCAACTTTGCCTCCAGGCTTACTGGGACTGCACGCATGAAACTGCATCCTTGCCTGATTTCTTCCCCTCCCCAAAGCACTTTTCCCACTCCCATACTGGTCTCTCCAAGAGGATTTCCATAACAAATCACTTGCATAGGAATAATCTTCTCAACGTCTGCTTCTGGGAAACTGGACCCAAGCTCTATGACATCCCAAAGTCTGGAAGTCACGACTCGAGCTTAAGAATGGCACTCCCATGCTTGTGGCCCTTGAATAGTTCATTTCCTACACTCTGGGCTTCTCACTGCTTCCAACCCCAAGAGATCAGCTCATGATTTCACCTTTGCATGTGCTCTTCTCTCTCCACCGTCCCCATCCAAACTAAAGCCTCCTCAACCCACAGTCTCAAAGTCACTTCTGCGGTGAAAACTTTCCTGAGCCCAAAACTTTCCTTCCACCAACACATGTTCTTTATAATCTCAGGATCCTCTTCCATGTTGGTCTGTAGACTAAAAAGAACACAAGCCATATTTGTCTGGCTCTCTGCTTTGTTCTCAGACTGAACTGGCAGAGCAAGCAATGTTTCTGACTGTCCAAAAAAAATTCACCAAACTGAGAACAGTTACCGAATCCAGGCAGAAGATAGTGAAGTGTTTTTTCACCTATATATTTTCTTCTCTCTCTCTCTCTCTCTCTCTCTCTCTCTCTCTCTCTCTCTCTCTCTCTCTCCCTCTCTCTTTTTCTTTTCTTTTTTTTTTTTTTTCTTTTCTTTTCTTTTCTTTTTGTATTTCCTAACAAGCTTTTTAAACAATGAAACATCTATTGATTTCATAATCAGGAAAATTAAAAAGACCCCTTTCTATTCTGCAATAACAAATGTTGGTTAGATTCTTTCTCTCCTAAAATGGAATGGTATTTTCTGTAGAATAAAGCTAAAAATTAGTTAAGTGCATTAGATATCACTGTAAATAAAGCTGTCACTTTAGTCACTATCACACATTAGAGCTCTCAGCTAGGAACCAAGAGCATATAGATTTGAGGAAAGACATTACATGTTTCATAGATTTTTATTTCTAAATTTGGTTAGTATTTTAAGAAAAAGGTAGATAACTTTGTAGGAAAGAGGCAAAGAATGACAGAGTCCAAAAAACCAATTTTCATATAAGAAAGGATTATGCCCAAAGTACTTTTATTTTCTCTCAGAAAAAAAAAAAACATACCTATATATTAAAAGATGCTGTTTTTTGTGTTTAAAATAATTTGATTGAGACTGTCAAATCTCCGAGGAAAATCTCAGAGGGGTGGGTGGATATGTGGGAAGAGACCAACCAAAGAACTTGTATGCTTGTATGTTTAACCCATGGACACAGACAACAGTGTGGTGAAGGTCTAGGGTGGGGGGTAAAGGTAAATTAGAAGGGGTCAAGAAGAAAAATAGGGGACATATGTAATTCTTTCAATAACAAAGATTTAAAAAAATAATTTGAATCATTAATAATATTGTTCACCATGAATTATGAAGGCAGTTCTGAAAAGAACAATAAAGACCATACCAGCCTGAGTTGAGCTGTGCTCTGCATTTGTTTCCTGGGTGTCTGGGAACTGTTCCTCGGAGTTGAGGGGATGGGGAAGTCAAAGAAGCAGTATGTCAGGTGGCAGCTGCCCCCCTGCCCCCACTGCTTCTCCACTGGCACCTGGGGTCCTACAATTTAACTGGTGCCAACAAACTTCTTTGGGGCTAGAATAAACTCAAGGGCAGGGATTTTTCTATTTGGTTCTTTGTTGTACCCCTAATAACTAGCATAATGCTTAATACATGGTAGACACACAAATATTTAATGAATAAATTAATAAAGTGATATAAAGATCTAAAAAGTGATAATATCAACAAATAATAGAAAAATGGGCAAATAATATAATCGGATCACTCAAGGAAAAGGAAATATTAGCGATTCTTAAACATGAGAAGATATTCAATCTCAGATAATAACTTTAACTTAAAATTAACATGAGACATTTTTTACTTACCAAAATGGACAAAAATATTAAAATGTATTAACACACTCTGTAGGTGGGGCTTTGACAAAACATGTATGCACATAAATTGCTACTGGAAATATAAATAGGTAGAGTCTCTTTGGAGGTAGAGTTGACACTATATATTAAAATTACAAATGCAAGAAACTTGGCCCAGCAATCCTGACAATTTATCACACATGTGCAGTCATGTGAAGTGACTCATGACAAGGTTATATACTGTCCTAAAGTTTATAAAAGCAAAAGTATGGAAACAACTGAGTACTCATCATTAGGGAATAGTTAACAAGGTGGGGTACACATACATTGTGCATTACTTGCAACTGTAGAAAAGAATGAGTAAGCACTCTTTGCACTTCTATGAAAAGATCCGATATGTACTACTAAATGAAACAACGTACAAAACAATATGAACAGTGTGCTTATTTTTGTGTATAAAGAGAATTAAGACTATATTTGTATTTGCTTATACTTAAATAAATAAATTCTGGAAAAATGCAAAGAAGTGAATAAAAGTGGAATTTTTTGTATTTTTTCAGGAGGGAGAGATGAGTCCTAGGCTCATGGAGAACAGGGTACTATTTAAAATTATGCATTTTTTTACGTTAATGAAACATGTGAATATACTAGTCAAATAATTACATATTAAAAAACCAGCAGGTTGAACTACCAAAACAAGAGAGAAATAAAGAGGCACTGCTATGCAAATTAATTATGTAAATAGTAAATTCTGTGACACACCAATTCCACAATCTCTTAATATTATGATGTGAGGCGTTAAGGGTATGAAGAATGCAGTAAATCTTCATACATGTGATCTTTCTTTTCCCATCAGAAAACTAAGGAGCATTTTAAAAATCAAATTTGATTAAATTACGTAGGAGAACGCTTCCAATAAAACAAGCCCTGCAGCATTAAAACAACCAATACCTTTCAGCCATATGACATGATCATTACAAAATGAGTCCTACCTTACTTCAGCCGGTGGACTGGGGGAATAGGGATTCGCAGAGCAAGCTAGGATTCTAATGACCGCTCCAGGATGATAGGTTTCCAGAACATGAACAGCTGTAGGATACACCTGTTGTTCAAAAGTAAGTTCCACGAAGTCTTGGCTCTGAAAATTAGGCGGTGTCCTCTTGAATGGCAAGGAAGCACTGGGACACTGATCCCACCATGTTCCGTAAGTTCGAAACACAGCTGTCTGAGTGAAGTCACCAGAATTCGGGAAAACATTTGGGACACCTGCCAAGTTCAACATGGTATAGGACATACTATTCTCACTTCCATAATGGGAGCTGAAATCCACCACTTCTTTGGCATACTGGACCACCTCTGCATTCAGAGGGGAAGTCCGGCTGTTTGATTCTATGGCTCTATGGCTGTTCATCATCTCTCCCCTCGCAGCTGTCCTGGCTCGGCGCCGCAGGCATAGGTAATAAAACATGGTCAGAACTGTTAACATGGGGAAGACTGGTGACATGCAGATGTGAATTATGAAGCTTCAAAAGGTCAGGTGTCTTCCATAAGATGCATAAACTCTCTGAAGGATGTTCTAAAAAAAATTGAATGGCTTGATAAAGTAAAATAATTTAAATAAGCATAAAAATGCATAAAAATGAATAAGTATACTTTTTACCCAATGTAATTTCCGAGAATGAAACTGAAAAAAAAAAAAAAAACTTCATTGTATACTTTTTACCCAATGTAATTTCCGAGAATGAAACTGAAAAAAAAAAAACCTCATTGTAAACTTCATTGAATCTTTTATTTTTTTTTATAAATATATTTTATTGATTTTTCACAGAGAGGAAAGAGAGAGATAGAGAGTTAGAAACATCGATGAGAGAGAATCATCGATCAGCTGCCTCCTGCACACCCTCCACCGGGGATGTGCCCGCAACCAAGGCACATGCCCTTGCCTGGAATAGAACCCAGGACCTTTCAGTCCGCAGGCCGACGCTCTATCCGCTGAGCCAAACCAGTTCCGGCTCATTGAATCTTTAGTATAATCTATCTAATGTATTTTTAAGAAATCCAATATTGAAATGGATACAATTTTATGCTATATGAGAAACAAAACTAATATTATAAAACAATGAAAGATGTATTACCTCAAAACTCCCATTTTATACAAAATTATAACTATCCTTCAAGAAATACTGAGTTTAAACTTTAAAAATTAATTATTTAAAGTATATGGCAAAGTACTAAAATATTGCTATAAGTCCAAAAAAATCTTAGACATTTTTAATTTCATTTTTTTAACAAGTGATTCCCTATTGTTAATTATTATGGGAATATAGTTTTCTGGAGCTGACAGTTAATATCTAGTTATGGATCTCACATTATGGGAATATAGTTTTCTGGAGCTGACAGTTAATCCAGACCAACTAAATTAACTGCCTTACACATCACAGATCACCAGACAGTGTTTAATTTATAGCTCTTAGCATTATTTGTTAGGGCGGTCTACAGCTGGCTGGCATCTGGCTTGTTGCCAGCCACTCTTAGAAATCACTCACCCCCAGATAGAAAGGTCATAGGATATGCAAAAGTTGGCATTCATCCATGCAGCCTGAAAATGGCACATTGACTTCAGGTACAAATGTTGACATGTGACATTCTTTTACCTGTTAAATAAGAATTTTAAAAAATATTTTAATTTTCAACTTAGGAAGTCAACTATCCCAAAATATATATCATTGAACTTTCAAACTGAATAGGTCACACTTTTCTGAATTTGTGGACTATTACGAATAACTAATATATCTTGTTAATTTTATGGAAGAATGTATAAAAACATAATAATGAATCCTTTCTAAATAGATATTGCAAACCCAGAGCTTATAAGCCAAACTATACCAACAGACATTTTGTTGGGACCAGATAGTGTTTTTTAAAATTCGACTAGCTTGCAATTTTTAACAATCACTAGGCCCCCAGTTAGAAGAAGTCTGAGCTCTCTGCATATCTGCCGTTATTCCTGGCCAGCCTACCAGCCTCACAGCCAAGGCCTGACCCTGTCCATACTGAGTAGTTAACTTCTTATCTACACAAATAAGGAAATCAAACATGTTTATTTTTGTATCTGGAAAGTCTGGAGCAGGCGTCTTCAAACTACGGCCCGCGGGCCACATGCGGCCCGCAGAGGAGTCTGATCCGGCCCGCCAGGTTTTTTGGGCAGTGAGCACAGCCGAGGTGTTACAGTAGGAATTAGTAGTTCATAGAGTCTGGCCCTCCAGCTCTCTGAGGGACCGTGATCTGGCCCCCACTTTAAAAAGTTTGAGGACCCCTGGTCTGGAGCTTAACTTCTCCTAAGTAAAAGAAGAGGAATATACTAATATCTCTTTAGTAGAACAATGTGCTAGCCTTTTAAAATTTTAGCGCTAAGATTATAAAACATCATAATTTATAAAACACATAAGTAGGCTTATTTTCTGCTATCTGCTGGTATCATCTTTGTATCAGATATATAACCTAACTCCACAAGGGTCTACATAGAACTAAATTTATTGGAGGGAATCTAGCCAAAAATCTTCAGTTCTCAAAGTACTCAACACATAGTAAAAACAAAGTATCTGACTTGTTGTCAGGAAAGGTAATAAGCACACAAAAAATTTACGGTATGTCTAAAATAATTAAAAATTACCTAACAGCATCCTTCTATTTCTCAATCCCAGCCAGACCCAAACCCAGTGAAATGCTTGAAAAAATGTAACAAGTAAAACAGTCAATAAATAACTGAGTTTGAAACAAGTTAGGAAAATCCACAGTTGTGAGAAACAGAAGAAATCAAAGTCAGAGAGCAGGAGCTGAAGCTAATATGACTCGTGGCACCAGTTACAGGCCTTCGTGGTTTTAAGGTGCCACAGATGCCATTCGGAAAGCCAAAACTCAGCAAAGATCACCCTATCCATGAAACCAGGAATATGAAAACTTAGCTCACTGGCCAGGAAGCCCAAGATGTAATATCAACCTAGGCAATGGGGGAAAGTCACCAGCGTAAAATCAGACCCTTATTAGGCATGTACTATGCACACAGAGTGAAACTACGTTCATACTTCCTTCATGGTTTAGAGTGCATACTCCATCTCCAAGTCAAAAACTTTACAAAGAAGTAGTCCTGAGCCGGTAATACTTCAGGGCCTGTTAGGGGCAGATGGGAACCATCTTCGCAGGGATGCTTCCACAACATAGGACAGAAGTTAAACCCTTTCTAAAGATTTCAGTGCTGAAGAACAGATCATGTTATAAATGTGGGGAAAAATAATTACATAGCAGATCACTTGCTTATGCAAACATCTCGCCTACCACAAGTAAAAATCTGTCAAGTAAAAAAAAACAAAAACAAAAAACTTACAACTGCACAAATATTAAATCTTTTACACCAAAATGTGAAATGACACAGCTCTTTCTTTTACCATGTATATTTTATTTTAAAATAAGCCCCCAGGTAAATTAAGAGAAATAATTTTCCAAAGAAGTTACTTAGTCACTCTCTTTCTTAAAGGAAAAAAAAGTAATTAAATAAATTTAAATTATAAAAATGAAATTTAGGAAATAAACAACAATGTATAAGTATCCAACTCAATAAACTGGCCAACTAATTTGGGAAACTAGATGCTTTATCCCTAGAAATCTTCAAGAGAAGGAAATACCACTTGCCAAGGTGGATGGGGTTGCATTTGACTGTATAATCTTTGGACATCACTGCTCACTCCACAGCCTGTAAATTGCTCACCCAAGCTCTTTTCACTCTCTTTATAAAACAGCATTTATCAAAAAAAAAAAAAAAGTTCTATAAAACCAAAGAAACATCTGCAAATTAGATATCATTCATGTTCATATTCTTGACGAAAAAATTGAGACAAATTGTGAAAGTCAAATTCTATTTGACATACAAACCACAAACTGTTTCCCAGCTAGCTTTTAACACTACAGAGAAGGGATACTAGTAAAAGTAGCAAGTGTCATATGTGCAATGTCATTTTTAGGCTGTTAAATAAAATTTCATATTGAGGCAACATATATAAAAGTGAGTTACAAACAATATTACATGTTCAAATATATTCAGTGTACAAGAGAAATGTAAATGGATGCTTTATTTTTTTCCCAACAATAAATAATCTTTAGAGTTAATTTTTTGAGATAAAGCTAAAAATAACCAAAAAAAATGAAAAAGCAAACAGCAACTATTCAAAAAATAAAATTAAAAATCTGTTTTTAAAAATAAACTAGATATAGAAAAAAATGTGCAAACTCATTGTTATTAACACCTTTCACTGATACTAAACTCTATCAACTAAGATCACACATAAAAGTGTTTTGGTGGTAGAGAAGACCATAAGAGAGAGGATAACTTCATTCCCTGGGAAATGAAGCTGAAAAGGGGGATAGAGTCATAGTCTCGGGACACCTGTGGACAGCAGCAACCAACGCAGAAGTCCAAACTGTCCATGTACTGTTTGGACCTTTGCCAAGGAGTGGAGGTGATTTGTGATAACCAATGTATATCCTAATGAGCAATAAACCAATGAACAAGATAGAATAACTATTTTGTTAAAAGAATGGGATTTAAAAACAAAATTATTTTTTCCACCTGGTAAAAATTAGTCTCGTACACTAAATTTTTCCAAAAGGACACTTATAAAATATATATCTTTGGAAAACATTTTCTTTTCAGTTTATTCAAAATGCTTCTTTAAAGACTCTTGCAACATATAAAAATAACATTTTCCATTTAACAAAAAGTCTGAATTAAAAATAGGCTAACCTTTATTTTATTACTTGTTTAATTCAATCATTTATCTGCAATGGTTATGAAGTGAGAATTCTCGTCAACACAATGAACTTTTATACTCAACATAATCAAGGAATACAAAACAAAAGCCATTTACCTTGTATCCTGAGACTTTCATACTACTTGGGAAACAACTTGCTTTATAGGACATGATTTTATTATAATGCTTTATTTTCAACTACGTCTTTCATATTATAAACTGCTTACCAAAGTTAAATAATACCATTACAGAGAAAGCAGTAACAGTGGGAAAGAGAAATTAAGCGGTACAGACAAGGGAGAACATATGTTTACCACTGAGATTTGAAGTGAGAGGGGGAGTCGATGAGGCGGAGAGAAACAGGATGGCAGAAACTGCAGAGAAGAAGGCTTGTACTTCAGTAGGGGAAAAGGGAGGAAGGAAAAGGACTTTCATGAAATACGCAAAAGGAGGCAATGGGAATGAACTTGACTGAGCCAGGGCCACACAAAGGCTAGGTTCATAGTGTGATAAAGGAACCTGGAAAACAAATTGAACACTCAAGAGTATTCTCGACTTAAAGTGAAGGCACAGAAAAAAGATAAAAAGGACAGGAGGCAATAAGGCAGTGTCATATATTGAAGGCACTCGTAACACAATACTCACTTGCAAAATATCCCACAGAGACATGTCAATGACGTGAGAGATAAAAAGAGCATTTAGGCAGCTTTGTAGCATAGTAGTACCAAAAGTTAAGAGTGTATAATATGGTACCAAATCAAGAAAACAGGCCAATCTTAATTGTTGTTTCTGTGTACTGCTGAAACTGATCAAGAGACACTTTTGAGGAAAGGACTTTCCTGGTTGAGTCTAGAAATCAAGACACGGGCAAATGGAGGAAGTGATTAAGAAGAGTGGATTATGGGTGAACTTGGTGCAGAGTTGACACTCATAACCAGCCCTCTTTGCAGGCCTGCCCCCTCTCTGGGTTTCTATGGCACCACATGCTCTTGTATCTCCTCCCATCGCTCAAATAACTGCTTCTCAGTCTCCTCTTGGGTCTTCTTCCTCATTCTCAAGTGTATTAAGGTACCACTAAAGGAAGGCTGTCTTTCTGATAAAATGATACACTGAAACATTCGACCTACCTGGCACCAGTCTTCTCCCACATTTGCTTCAACCCCCAGACTGCACTCAGGCTTTGCCACTAAGGCTGGGTTCCCCTGGAACAAACACCCTTGCTCTTCCTCAGCTTGGCACCCTCTTATCCATCCTTTAGTCAGGTTTAGACCTTATCTATCACCTACATTTTCTTTGCTCTTGCACGTAATGTATCATTCCCTATATGCTGAGATAATTTTCTACCCTGGCAAACAATAAATTCCTCATGTTCAGAGAATGTGTCTTAATTATAACTATACCCTTAGGGCCTAGTACATATCAATAAACATTTGTTCTGGGGTTTTGTTTTGTGTGTGTGTGTGTGTGTGTGTGTGTGTGTTTGTTTTGTGCATGTGCGTGCGTGTGTGTGTGTGTAAGACTGGCAGAGTAGATGGCAGAAGACAGTGACTCTTCAAGATAAAGCACATGTATACCAAAAATGAAGCAAAAAAGTTTTTGATATAAAAAAAAGTCATACATTTGATTCTCATCTATTGTGCTTTGTTTTTTTTATTTGACAAAGCACAATAGGTGAAAATCAAATGTACGACTTTCATTGAAGCCATCCAATAAGGAATAGTATACACATATTGTTCAAAGAGAAGGTTAAAAAAAAATAGTATTAACTTCTCTTAGTATAAAACCAGCCCCTGAATATGTAAAAGACTTGACCTTGATCACAAAGAAGCTCTGATTGAAATTAAGAAAGATTCATGAAAGAGGTGACTGGAGAGGTAAAAGTTATTTTCTCAAATACAATGTTGTTTTTTAAGACTCCAAATCTGTGTTAAGACCATAGGGTGATTATGGAGAACCAGAAAAATTATGACTGAAAAAAAAATTCTCAAAAAAGGAAATAACCTAAGAATGATAGAGAAAAACAGTTCAAGAAAGGCAGTTCAAGCAAGGATGAAAAGACAAGTTGATATTGTTATTAGTAAAAGCATTTTCCTTTTCCTTTACATTCCAATATGCTGTATAAGAGAATGTAACAAGGTCAGTAAGGAGACTTCTGGGATGGAATATTATGACTTTATGCGCCTCTCTTCCTCTAAGCAAATTCTCCTTTAGTCAAAATATTTTTACTGGGGTTATAGTTTTTAATCACAAGTCCCCAATATAGGATAAATAGGTAGAGTTCTTAACTGAATCAGGTGGATAATAAAGGAGAATACAGCCTCCGATCCAGCTTTAAAGTTCCCAGAAATCCAGGCGAGTAAAGCAGGAGGCAGGGCACATGTGGAAAAAACAACACAAGGGCCGAGGAAAAGCTTGAAATACAGAGACAAACAGCACCTCTCTCTAAAAAGCTTGAAAACCAAAGAGGCAAACAGCACCTCTCTTTCAGGAGTATACACAGAGTATTGGGACACAGTTTGGGCACTTGAAAACTTCTGATGAGTTAATGAACAAATGGCAAGGCTTTAAGAAGTGGTAAGTCAAACTAGCAATGGACTTGTCAGAAATAGGAGATAAGATTTAGAATTAATTTAAACTAGAAATTAATAGTGGTTAGCTTTGCAAAATGTTTTCTCTCTTTTCTAGACTTTAACAATCATATATAAATTTATGAAATATTGCAGGGGCCTTTTCAAAGCTGGCAAGAATATTAATATAATAATCTTTAGTAGCAAGAAAAAAGAATGAAAGTCAAAACATTTTTTAAACAGCCCTGGCTGGTTTGGCTCAGTGGACTGATGGGTCCCAGGTTCGATTCCTGTCAAGGGCACATGCCTGGCTTGATCCCCATTGGGGGATGTGGTGAAGGCAGCCAATCAATGATTCTCTCTCATCATTGATGTTTCTAACTCTCTTTCCCTCTCCCTTCCTTCAATTTCATTTTCAGGATACTTTGGAAAAGCCAAAGCTACAGAGAAGACAATCAGATCAGTGGTTGGCAGGAAGTCATGAGAAAAGACTGGGCTGACTACAATAACTGAAAAGAAGCCACACAAAGGAATTCTTAGGGCATGGAACTATTCTGTATGCTTTTTTCTTCCATCTTTGTTTTGGACCAAATCATGTCAAGCTGGAGATTTGATATCCTGGTCCTGGCTTGTTATGGGTGCCCTATGTTATTAGTCTGTTCTTGACCAATACACTCTGAAAGATATCTACCAATTTCTATGTCCTGCCTGAGCACAGAGCCTCAACCAGTCATCTGGTCTTAGGGAACGACCTGTCTGGAAAAGAGAATAGTGACTTTTACAACTTGAGAGAGATTCCTGAGCAGGACCACATCAGCCAACATAAATCTGCACTAATAAAGAAGAGTAGAATTACCCATCTTAAAAGACAGGAGGAACAAGTTGGGCAATTAGTGCAAATGGTCTCTAATAAAAGTTAAAGCAAAAAATAGGAAAATCGTTTTAAAATAACTATTTTCTTTAGTGGGAATCAACAGAGTATAGGATCCATAAATAACAACAAGCTAATTTAAAAAACACAATTAAAAAGTTCTTAGAAATTAAAGACGTAATGGCCAAATAAACTGAATGTTAAAATGAAAAAGAAAGATAAGTGACCTAGAACACAGAGGCAAGAAATCAAATATCTACCAAAAATAAATTCAAGAAGAGACTGACTCTGACAAAAATTCAATAAAATGCCAGAGGATCATGTAATACTATAGAAAGTCTAAAGGATTAAAACAGACTAAAACTCTTATTCCCATTAAAAACAAACAACAAAATAAAAATGTTTCTGGACACGCAAATAAACTTCCCATAACTCTTCTTAAAAACATCACCCAAGCCCTGGCTGTGCGGCTCAGTTGGTTGAAGCATCATCCACATACCAAAAAGGTTACGGGTTCAATCCCTGGTTGGGGCACCTATGGGAGACAACTGATCCATGTTTTGCACATCAATGTCTGTCTGTCTGTTTCTCTCCCCCTTCCTCTCTCTCTCTAATGTCAATTTAAAAAACACACACATAACCTTGGGTGAGGATAAAAACAAAGTATACTAGTCAACAAGGAAATTAAAATGAATAATAAATAATTTTAAAAGGGGAACATAGAATATAAAAAGTAGCCAGTGACCTTACAGTTAAATCTAAATCATTACTGCAACAGTAATGGTAAAGTTGAAAACGATGGTTAGAGGAAAAGCAGAAGACAAGTAATGTACAATGGAAATAAAATCAACAGAGCCAAGAAAGGGGGAAGCCAAGGAGTGAAGGTTTCACCTTATTACGTGGAAGTGTGAGAGTAACAGAAAGTCAATTATACATGGTTCTAGATTTGAAAGCTTACAGGGGAGAAAAAAATATGAGGTAGTTAAAATTTCCTATTAAAAGATAAACCCTTTCACCCAAGGGATCCTTGTGATAGAATGGTTCTGTATTTTGGTTTTGGTTATAGTCACAAGATCTACATAAAACTGCAGAGAACTAAACGCACGTAGGCATATAAAACTGATGAAATCTGAGTATGGTTCTGTCAATTCTATCACCGTCAATTTCCTAGGTATAATATGCTATAGTTTTATGCAAGATGTTACCATTGGAGGAAAATGGATGAAGTCTACACAGGATCTCTCTGTATCATTTCTTATTACTGCGTGTGAATCTATAATCATCTTTTTAAAAACAGATTTTTTTTTAATAATGCAAATAAATAATGAAAGGCATACTTTCAAATTGGGAGGAGTGACGATTAAAAGGATAATGAAAGTCCAGCTGTATGATGTTTGGTGTGTAAGAGAGGCAAGTAAAGCAAAATGATATAGAAAGATTGAAAATCAACATATGGGCAATAAAGATCTATCTGGTTTACACAAAACTGACACAGATGGCAACAGTAATCTCAGACAATGTAGAATCCAAGGCAAAAATCATAAATAGGGTAAAAAAAAAAAAAAGACATTTTATATTTCATAAGATTAGAATCCACTAAGAACAAATAACTATATATAGTAATCTATAAGATGGATTCAATCAAATTCATACTCACTGTAGGAGACAAACACATTTTGCTTTCTGGTTTGTCAGTTTTGAGAAAATAATAAGAATGGCAAAACTGGTTTGGTTCAGTGGATAGAGTGTCGGCCTGCGGACTCAAGGGTCCCAGGTTCAATTTCGGTCAAGGGCATGTACCTTGGTTGTGGGCACATCCCCAGTGGGCGGTGTGCAGCGGGCAGCTGATCCAGATTGGAGAGGGTGAAGGCCAGGCTGAGGAACCCGCCCCCCCTTCATGCATGAATTTTATGCACAGGGACTCTAGTCTGGCAAAATAAAGAAAATGTCTCGACCTAGGACAAAGGTTAGGCAGGTTTACTTGCAGCCTATTATGAAAGATTCAGATTCCCTAAGCACAGGGTTCCTCTCCTCCTCATCTACTGCACATGCTAGAATCATCTGGCCCTCATCACATCCCCCAGAATAAATTAGGGCTCAAGGAAGCAGCACAAGAAAATGATGATCTCTGACTACTTTTATTTGTGTTTTGCCTCTGACCCAGGAATCTCATGTCTTCTTCCAGCATCCATGAGATTGTTAACTAGCATGTAGGGTAAAATCTCAGCTTTGACCATTCTTGGCAATGATATGGCAGCAGCACTGTTCTCATAAATTGTGTAAATTTGCTCTTATATCTTTCTGAAGAGCAACATGGAACAACCTATCAACATTAAAAAAATAGCCTTTGACCCAGCAATCCCACATCTAAATACTTATACTAAAGAAATAAACAAATGTGCATATGTATTGATACATACAAAAATGATCTCTGTAGTTTTGTTTGCAATAGAAATAAATTTGGAATTGGCTAAATATCAATAAGGGGGATTGGTTATATATTAAGGTTTTGGGGGTTTTCCTACAGTGAAATACCAAAAACTAAGTTTAAAAGGGATGTTATATGCAGTAACATAGATTCTCATCAATTGTTACTAACTGGAATTATAGATAATTATATATAGCTACACTGCCATTTATGAAACATGTAGACATATACATTTATTTCTAATGTCTGGGAGAAGAACAAATGAATGATAATAATCTCTAAGGAATGGGGCTACTGGCTGGTGGACACACAACGTATTTACTTTTTCCTTTGGCTATTTCTATACATATTTTTGACTTTTTAAAAAAGTATACATTTATTTTATGATTTCATTAAGTTTCTAAGTATCTACAATATATATATAAAAACTAAGCCACCAAACAACCAAAGACTGGTCAACCGGTTGCTATGATGCACACTGACCACCAGGGGGAAGACACTCAATGCAGGAGCTGCCCCCTAGGGGGTCAGTGCACTCCCACAGCCAACCTCCCACATCCTCCCCACAACAGGTCCTGATTGGGGGGGGGGGGGGGGGCGACAGACAACCTCCCAGCCCCCTTCCCCATAGGCCCTGACCGCTGGCCAGGCCAGAGACCCCACCCCTTTAAGACTGTGCAGCTGGCCTCTAGTTCCTAATAAAGGACTATAGGAGCGCAGATGTATCCGGTAATCTCCCTCTACTCAACCAACAGATACAACATGCAATTCGGACAACAGAAGCATAAAGTGAGTTTTAAGGGGGGGGGGGGGGGGGGGAAATGTGCCTATGATCTGAACTTAAGAGACCTAGAGGAGTGTAGCCAGAAAGCAGTCAAGGCAGCTTGCATCCTGGAACCAAGGCAGCTTGCGTCCTGGAAGGTCCCACATCTGGTGTTAAATGAGTCCTCCAAGGCTTAAAGTCAGACACAGACGCTGCCAGCAACTACCTGACCACGGGTTTGCACGGTCTTGGCTTTCTAAGTGTGTGGACATGTCAACTGGTGAATGCACCCCGACACTGTGGCCATGAGAACCTGGGGAACCGTCAAGGAGACCCAACACCGCTCCCCCTGCTAACGTGCTGGCAGGGAGCACAGTGGGCGTCCATCGTCTCTGCGCTCTAGGGCACCCCTAACCAGAAACAGGGCTGCTGCCAGGCATCTCGTGGGTGCAGTCCTGAGCAAAGACACGGGCTTGGCCAGGCAACACCCCTCGGACCCAGAGGAAAACCGAGGAAGCACAGACAGGAGCAGCGGGTACCGACGCGCAGGCGGCGGGCCCGGGACTGCAGGGCCTCCCGGCGGGGCCCGAGTCCCCAGGGCCCACAGATGCCGCTGTCCACACCCCTGCCCGCCCGAACCCCGGGGCGGCACTCCAGCCGCGGGGCAAACCCGAGACCAGCAGCGCCCGAGGCCGCGGGCGGCGCTCAGGGTCCCGAACACGCCCCGCCCGCGCGCGTGGGCGGCAGGGGAGGGGGGAAGGCCGGACCTCGGAGGTGCAGCCAGGGGCCCGGAGCGCGGCGCTCCGCCCGGGCCAGGCCCAGGCCCAGCTCCAGCGCCGGAGGAAGGACATGGAGACCCGCAGGCGGGGGAAGGAAAGAAAGGGCCGTACCCTGCAGGGTCCGGGAGAGTGCGCGCCCTGGGCTTCGCCAGCGACCTGGCGGCGCGGGGAGGCCCGGGCGCGAGGGCGGCCCCAAACTCACGCGCAGCGGCACCACCGCGGCGGCCCGGCCCCGCGCGACCCGGAAGGAAGACGCGGAAGGCCGGAGGGGGCGGGGCTAAGGGGCGGGGGCGGGGCCACGAGGCGGGAGGCGGGGCTCTCGCTGGGGCGGAGGCTCCCAGTCCTGGGCGTGTCCTGTAAAGGGTCCTGTTCCTCCAGGGTGGGCCGTGGTTGCTGGAAAGAAGGAAACTGGCCATTTATAGGGCACGCCCAGGACTGTCATCTGCAGTGCAGGCCTGCGAGGGCTCCCTCAGTCCAGGGTGGGTGGATCGGGTGATGCAGAGAGATGGCAAGTGATAAGTCCTAAGAGGAAAAGTAGAACAAAGTTATGTTTTCTACTAAAGGTAAACCTTTACACCTCCCCAAAGTTATGCAAATGTCTGCTCCCCGTATAAACATCAGTCCTGCAGGCTCACTTCCCTCCCAACGTTCAGAAGCCCGTGGTCATTACCTCTGATGATGAAGCTCTCGCGGTCTCCCTTAGTCTTTTTTAAAAAATTAATTTTCAGTATATATACCAGATAATATCACCTTTTAAAAAGTTTGCAATATTTATCTTATTATAAGGTTTCTGTTAAGATAGTAAAACATTTCATAATGACAAGATGTTGAACTACAGAACTAAAGAGGCAAAATAATGATATTTATTTATAAATTATATATAGGAACTGAGCTGATATGTGATGTGTAGTATAAATTGTATGCAAAACAGTAAATTTTAAAAAAGGAGCTGAAACCGGTTTGGCTCATTGGATAAAGCATTGGCCTGGGGACTGAAGGGTCCCGGGTTTGATTCCAGTCAGGGGCATGTACCTTGGTTGCAGCACATTCCCAGTGGGGGGTGTTCAGGAGGCAGCTGGTGGATGTTCCTCTCACATCGATGTTTCTGACTTTCTGTCCCTCTTCCTTCCTCTCTGTAAAAAATCAATAAAATATATTTTTTTAAAAAGGAATTGAAGCTTAATTGTCAACCTCCCTTGAGTGAGGGCAGCACTTAGTGACTTGCTTCCAAAGACTATGGAGGAGTGGAAAGTAGCTTTATTGTGGAGAAACCCGGCCAGCACCTAGGCCAGAAGAAAGGGAACAGTATTAGAGATAAGCCAAGTTGATAACATGTATCCTGATGTGTGATAAGAAGGGCACTTCCTCTCTGTGATATTCTTCCTTAAAACCCACGAACTCAATCTAACCTTAAGATAACATCAGAATACCTAGGTATCCTACAAAATGCCAGAACAAATTGTCAAGTTAATGAAGAAGGGAAGGGGAGGAAAACAGAAATTCTTAGACCAGAGGGAAACTTAGGAGACAGGATCAGTAAATGTAACATGGTACTTTAATGGGATCCTGGAATATGAAAAGGAATTGGTGGGAAAACTAGTGAAACTGGAATAAAGAGTGGAATTTAGCTAATAGTAATGTATGTACCAATGTTGGTTTCTTAGTTGTAACAAATGCACTATTATAATGGAAGACGTTAAGAATAAGGGAGAATTGGGTGAGTGGTATACATGAACCTCTCACTGCACCTTTTCTATAATCTCAGTCTAATCTTAAGTCAAAAGTGGATTACAAATAGTTAATAAATAAAACTGACCCTTTCATGATTGTAGGTGAGACTTAATTAAGTTGATGCCTTCAGGGCATCCAGACCCAATCTACCTAAAGCAGTTTCTCATTTCTAACACAATTCCAAATAAACTTTTCATTGAAGTATAAAATATATTCAGAAAATGACCAAAATATGGGTTTAATGTATTCAGCACTCAAAAAAAAAAAAAAGTTCTCACACTCAGAACCTCCCACGTGCTCTCCTACATGTATAACCTTTACTCCTCCCCAAGGGTAACCACTGTCCTGACTTTTAATATCAGAGATTAATTTTGCTAGGTTCTTGCCTTTATAAAGATGGATTCATACACTATACACTCCCTTGAGTCTGGCTTCTCTCTCTCTCAACATTAGTCTTGTGACAGTTATGTCATTGAGTGCAGCGGTAACATCTTGAGTTTCTATTGTATAAATAGACCATAATTTATTTATCTATTCTGATGGGCACTGAGCTGTTTTTAATTTCGATTGTTACAAATAATGCTGCTATGAACATTTCCATGTATATCTTTTGGTGCATGACCCTCCATCCATTTTCATCTCTGGTGTTTAAGAGATGTAGTAGTTGGTGCTGTTACTTTATTCAGTGTGCTTGTTTAGTTTTTGTTCTTAAAGGCACTTAAAGTGCTGCTTATAAAGTATGCAAGTTTATATTTAAGGAAAAGAAAAGACTAGGGCAAAGTTCCATTTCTGTACTAGATGGAATTTGGGCCTTTATTGCTCAGTCTTCCCTCTCTTCCAATGTTCTTGTCCCAAGGTCTGTGCCACTGCCATGCTTTGTTCGCTGGACAGAAGAGTCAAGTGAGGCCATGGAAAAGGGCGATACTTATCAGTTAGTGATGGCACTGATTTAATGGGGGAACTAATGCCTAGTTATTAAATGGAATGTTGTTTGCAGCTGAATAGCATCCCACGCCTTAACAGCACTATTACAAATAAAGTAAGTCCAAACAAAGCTTAATTGTGCATAAAGTCACCAGCTCAGCAAGCTGGTTATGATCCATTCTATGTTAGCTTCAAAAGTAACAATGGTCTACTCAGATGGGGAGGCGGGCAAAGAAGGAGCAGGTTCAAAACTCTTCTTTGTTTCTAATCTTGAAACACTCATCATCATAACCTTTCACTATTTTCAAATGCTTTTTTAAAGTTTAAAACGAAATGTCTACCAATTAGAAACTTTCGGGGTGTATGCATGACAATAAGATACTATGTCAGAGAAAAAAGATACCATCATCCATCTCACTGCCAAAAGGGCCAAAAATGTCTTCACAAGGAGGTATTCTATCATTGGTTCCCAAGTTAGTTTTTCTATCAAGTCAAGACCACTCAGAAAATGCAACTCCATGCACTTCCTACATAACTCAGTGAACATAATTTACCTCTTTGTGAAATTTTAAGTTAACTAGTTTATTGGAAAGTGGTATTCAGTCAGTAATGTTAGTTCAAGGTTTTTAATATGCCAGTGGCCAAAAAGCATGAATAAGATCTCTCAGCGTGCTTTTTAAAACCTCTTATAGTCAATAAAAGTTTCATTTTAATACTGATCTATCATAATATTAATCTAGAAACAGTTACAATCATCAAGAAGAAAATAAAAAATTTAAGCAAGAAATAAACCCAAAAGTCATGAAGTCCAAACTCCTTTTTTACAGATGAGGAAAATGAGGCTCAGACAGGTTAAGGGACTTCCCCCAAATCAGTGTTAGAACTGTCAATGAAACCTAATTCTCTGACTTTAAATCAGTGCGTTTTAAAAAGTGATATCACATTACTTTATAATTTAACAAAAAATGGAACTCATCATGCTCCCATTTCCCCATCACCTTAAGGAGCTGAATACACTAGAGAGAAAATTGTACGTGGGGTAGGAGGACCTGTCTATGCTGCTCTGCCATGAACAGAACTCTGTGATCTTGGATTAGTTACAACTCCTCTGAACTTGTACTCAGTTCTGTGAACAGTGCTCAGCTCACAGGCACAGCAGAGATTTAAAAGAGATCATATATGTTGAAAGCACTTTGTGAGCTATAAAGTAGTATGCAAATGTATGAATATTATTACTATTACTAGAGGCCCGGGGCATGAATTCATGCACCAGTGGGGGCCCTCAGCCTGGCCTGTGGGATTGGGTCGAAACTGGCTCTCTGATATCCCCTGAGAGATCCTGAATTGAAAGAGGGCACAGGCCAAACCAAGGGACCTCCCCAGTGCATGATCGAGGCTGGGAAGGGACATGGGAGGTTGGCCAGTTGGGGAGAGACCATGGAGGATTCCAGGGCATGTCCAGCCCATCTCGTTCAGTCCCAATTGGCCAGACCCCAGCAGCTAACCTACTGGTTGGAGCATCTGCCCCCTGGTGGTCAGTGCATGTCATAGTAACTGGTCGACCAGTTGACTGTCTGCCCCCTGGCGTTCATAGCAAACAGTTGAGAGGCCTTAGCATATCATTAGCATAATACACTTTGATTGGTTGAATGGCTGACTGGACGACTAGACACTTAGCATATTAGTTTTTATTATATAGGATTAAAACATGTTGAAGACCAAAAATTGAGTCTTTCCAGTACAAATTGCCAGAACAGAACTTTCAATTGTTACCAGAGGAGAGAAAAGCCTAGAAAGACTAGAAAATTTACCCCAAAATTTATGGCACGTTTTTGCAAAGCCAAAACTCAAATGTAGGTCACTTAACTTGTGGCTTCCAATGAATAATGTTTAATATCTTTGGTAAGTGAGGACAAACTAGAAATCAAATATATGGCATAAAATCTGAAAAAAACTTTAGACTGAATTTGCATAGATCTCAAAGGAATATCATGAAATAGATTTTAAAATATTTTACAAATAAAAACTAACATAGTTTGTACTGTTTTGATTTGTACTATTCCTTTTTTATGTAGCTTGGATCATTTACTTGAAAACTTAGTATAATGAAAGAGTTTCAGTGGTCAAGAATAACGTAGGAGAAATACTACCGAGTTTCCCCAAAAGTAAGACATCCTCAGAAAATAAGACCTAGCGCATGGAAAGATAAGACATCCCCTAAAAATAAGACCTAGCGCAACTTTGGGAGAAAAAATTAATATAAGACACTGTCTTATTTTCGGGGAAACAGGGTACCTGGAGACAGTGGGCAGAATAGATCTCTTCCTGAAGTAACTTCTTGCCTATGGTTCTTTAATGGCTGGAACACATAGCCGTGAAAATGAACCTTGTGGCCACTGCTCCAGGTAATCCCTCTTCTTAATACTTTTTCATTTTTCAAGTGAACTTTTTGTTGTTGTTAATCCTCACCAAAGGATATTTTCCCATTGATTTTTAGAGAGAGTGGAAGAACAGGGAGAGACAGAGAGAGAAACATTGATATGAGAGACACATCAACTGGTTGCCTCCTGCATGTCCCCCAACCAGGGCCGGGGTCCAGCCTG